TCGCTACCTTGAAGGTCAAGGACACAGCATGACCTTGAAGCAAAATTTTGACCGGCCCATAACTTGGTTATTTAAAGTTAGATTTTTCAACTATTTCACAGAAATGATCACCATATTGCGATGACGTGTCACGCACAACATTTGGGTCGCTACCTTGAAGGTCAAGGTCACAGCATGACCTTGAACAAAAATCTTATCCGGCTCATAACTTCGTTCTTTGAAGTCAAATTTTACAATCTATTTCACAGAAATGATCACCATATTAAGATGACGTGTCGCGCTCAAATTTGGATCGCTACCTTGAAGGTCAAGGTCACAGCATAACCTTGCAGCAAAATTGTGTCCGGCCCATAGCTTGGTTATTTACAGTCGGATTTTACAACTTTGTCACAGAAATGATCACCATATTTGGACAACGTGTCGCACGCAACGTTTGGTTGCTACCTTGAAGGTCAAGGTTACAGCATGACCTTGAAGCAAAATTGTGTCTGGCCCATAACTTTGTTATTTGAAGTTGGACTTTACAACTTTTTAACAGTAATGATCACCATATTGAGACGATGTGTCGCGCGCATCATTTGGGTCGCTACCTTGAAGGTCAAGGTCACAGCATGACCTTGAAGCAAAATTGTGTCCGGCCCATAACTTTGTTATTTGAAGTCGGATTTTACAACTATTTCACAGAAATGATCAACATATTGAGACGACGTGTCGCGCGCAAGTCGGTAGATAGATCTTATTGAGTAGAAGTGCAGTGCAAAGAACAGTAACTCTGCATTGCCTAAGTTTGGAATTATCACACTTTGAACTTTGTCTGGGACATAACTCTGAAACTACAAAAGATATACTTTTCTGTGTCCAAATCCTAGTCGGGGAGCATCACCCGGTTCAACCGACTCTTGTTTTACTTAAAAAATGTTATTTTTACTATAAATTCTTTAGTTTTAAAAGTATCTACCTCAAACTTCAAATACATATTCCTTATCATCAACCAGATCTTATGTGACAAAAGTCATAACTTTTGTATCAATATTTACAGATTTATCTCTCTTTGAACTTAGAAATTTCTTAAAAAAATATTACATATATATTGTTTGACAAGGTCTATATTTCTAGTGTGACTATTTCCAGAATTTTTGCCCCTTGAAATTGGAATTAAGGTGACAACGGACACTTTCCGTGGTACTCACATAAATGTCATTTAAACCAAGTTATTTTAGTAATAATTGTTATTCATTTAATCTTTGTGCATTAAATGTCGTTGATCATCATAAAAAATAACATATTTGAAAAAAATGCCTTTGTAAATGATTGATTTTGAATAAAAATCCTAAAATTTTAAATCGTCATATCAAAGTCATTTTTTATTTTTTTGTCATCAAACTTTTGGAAAATAACCATACTTATATTATCTGGGGAACCGTGTCTCAAATTTTTTATATCTTTTCTCAAAAAAATATTACGTAACGTCAAACATTTTATGCGACTTTTTTCACCATACATATTAAGTAATTAAAGATAATTAAGTCGCTGATTGAGCAAACAAAAATCCCTGACACGGTTCCCTCCGTAAATGAATTTCCTTTCATGTGCTTTAAACCGCATGTTAATTGCTTGATTATTAAAAAAGTTATGCCGATTCAAAGTTAGTCCGACCCGCATCAAACGAAGTGTCATAAATCGGCTGTTCTCTCTCGGACCCCTGCGTTTCACGCTAAATAATTGCATAATACACAAATATCGCACCAGAGAGGGTCACAAGTTGCGGTAACATACTCTAACAACATTTTATGACCCAGTGACATCTGATCAATTAAAAAGCTGCTGATTAATATCAGTTTATAGCCGAAATTTCTTCAATTCTTAACGTGATTTACTATCCGTCTGGTATCTGTCGCACATGTCACGTGACTATCGGTAAAATTTGAGGCACTCAGTGGGGGCAAATGGAACGCATTTGCGCACCGCTAGCGGGGTATTTAATTGTTTCCTATTTGAAGTTTATTATTATTATCATAAGCATTATTATTGTTTTATACCAGTGTCACTCTGTCTGTGTATTCGTGTATGAAATTCCGTTAAAATATAAAATAAAATAACAAAAAACTGAGCTAAAGTCCATGGTAGATGTACAAATAAGAACGGGATAGTATATATTTTTTCCACCAAATTGATAATGCTTCACATATTTTAATAGAAATAAAAGGTATTACTCGATCATTACGATGTGGCCTTCTTGACTTCTATTATCATGAATATCATCTATGCACGGCATAGAGAGCCAGTTTCTACCGGGATAGACAATAAATTTCATACTTTGTCCCAGATTTTTTAGTACTGTGTCGGATTTACTGGCGAACAATTTATTTTCACTGAGAATATATTTTAATATCTTTTTTTATTCATAGAGAAATAATCATCCTTAGACAATCTAAAATGGTTTAGAAATTTGTCAGGGACACCTTACCACAAGTCATATAAGCGTTCACATAAAAAATGTCTTCTGTTGTTGTTTTACTTGACATTGTTAGAAAACGAGGTTGAATGTAAAGTAAGCCCTTGAATCCGTACAAAAGTCTATCAACTCAATGTAATATATATCAGATTAACGGGATAGACAAATTATTTTCACACATGGATATTTTAGCAACTACATCTTTAATCAACCCCGTGGTCGTGCGATTTGCCGCTATGCTTAATTATTTATGTTTCATACATTAGACTATGTTACGTACATTGGCCGACAATTTCTTAATTTATAAAAAAGGCTGAATGTTGAGATATTCATAAAAGATGTACGGTAGATGAACGATACATGTATTATGAGAAGTATGGACCAGTATGGACCTGTAATTCACGGATATATGGAACTACCGATTTCCCTCATTGATGCCTAAACAGGGGGCGGAGCGTTATTGATAATCGACAGGTTACGCGAATAGCAGATACAAATAGTATAGGTACCGTTTTAAATCGTTTAAAAACACATTTTTTGGACTAACTGCTTCCAAAATTAAATCACGAATGTGTTCAGAAAAGGTTGATAAATCTACTTAGCAAAAAATCTCATTTTAGGTATTTTCAGTGATAATTGACTCCGTTGTCACCTTAATGTTAACAACAATAACTTCTTGTCATAAGAAGAAATATCTTTATATCATTATTGATTTTTCTTTCATATTTTGTCTTCCTTACTGCGTCCAGTATTTTATAAGTCGAGCTTCGCTGCCTCCTGTTACAGCTCTTGTTTAAAGGTGTTCTTCAAGGAAGTAAATATAGTGCTCTGTTACTTTAGAAACTAAGACTGAATAGCTTTTTTACTGCCTAATGATGTTGATTTTTGTGCTTAAAATATTATGATAGTTATGCACAGACATTTTAAAATTGCTGTGTCAATTTTCAGTTTAATGAATGTGTTGTAAAGTTGGGTTCCAACTACAACAGCTTACACAATCATTACATAATGTTGTATAATATTACTCAAGAAATATAACATGTATAATCTTCATACATATTTTTCAAGAAATATTCAGGGTTTAAACTTTAACTTAGATTTAAGTACAATTTAAAGTTAAATCATATTGAACATGTATTGTTTTATAGACATTTCATTCTGTCATGCACTAGTTTAATGTTGATTTTAATTGTACTGAATAACGTTGTAGAACTTGATACACTCTTTAACAGTAACTTGGCATGGCATAAGACTCTTTACATACAATATATAGAGAATGGTTCTACTTTCAATTACACTGGCCTTTAAACTTAGTGAGATACATATTGTTAATTTAGCATTTGCATGATTTATATATGTTTGTAAATACATGTATGTTTAGTTGATACTAGTTTCTAGTTTTATTGTTTAGAATATTTTTTTAAAAGTTTATTACTTTGATCATGGTCATTTGATACTGTTGCAAAATTTTCCACGAATAATAATCTATTTTTAGGATAGTTATGTAACGCCCTAATGAGCTCTGATTGGCTAAAATTTGTTGACCAATCAGAGCAGTTCTGCATTTTCCTGGTTCCACACAAAGTTCTGGTTCCCAGTAGTGTGCATAAATACCGGCACTTTACACAATTTTGTCATTCTGCTGCTAATTTTTGGAAAAGCAACATCTCTAAAAGCTCTCTAAGGTTAATTAATTAATTATTTAATTTATTTTAGGCACTTTGGCATTTAAGTAAACCTTAGAGATTATCTAAATTCACTGAAACATTTTTGATAAATTTGTAAGTAATTTAAGTAATTATTTTTTACAGAATTAATTAAGATTAATTAATATCTTTTCTTTGTTTTAAGTGGCAGCCATCTTGAATTATTAGATCTTTATTTTGGTTCATATAGATTAAAGCAGGGCTTGCTACTATTCAGATTTATTAGTTTAACAGCACAGAATCATTAAGGTTATTTTTCATACTTTCAGTTATTACAATTTAACAACTTTCAACTAGTTTAAAATCTTTTATTAAACTAGTTTATTCTGATTTTTATTTTTGGTTAAATACGAACAGCATAATATTATATTAAAGTGATTAAACTTGTTCAGCTTTAAGTAACTTTTAGTTAAGTGTAAATAAAAGCATAGTTTATTAAAAATTTGGTTGATTTAAATTTATTCAACATTTGTGTTTTATTTCTCTTTGCATTCAAAGGGTGGTGTCATCCTGACGATTAGATTTTTCCCTATTCAAGAGTACTCCTGAGCAAACTAAGAACATTAAGTAATAAGTAACTAAATTCTATCTATAGAAAACATAAGGCTTTTAATTTTCAACACCACAATAATGATGCAAAGTGGGATAGAGGCCTGCTTCTATTTTTAGAAACACTTATTAACATATTTTTTCATCACCAAAACAAATGAATGTTGAATTTATTATATGTATCATTAGAGGGAGGATACTCTGATATTTAGGGGTTAATAAAGGGACTTAACCCTGGTACTTCAGCTTTTTGCGTACAAATAAAGTCATTTTTTGTATATATTTTTCAGTTTTGACCTGCCTCCTACCAAGCATTAAGAATGCCCTTTACAATGGGTATACGGCAGGTAGGTTGGTAAATGTTGGTACAAATGTGCTTGTCACTTGCACCAATGGTTATGAGTTTGCAACAGATAGTCCGCAAAGTGTCACATGTAACAATGACAGAACCTTGTCAGCTTTGCCACAGTGTGTAGGTAGGTATTATTTTAAGCTCACATCTCATTGAATCTTTACCCTGTTGGTGGCTACAGACTCTACCACTGTGACCTGTGCACACTTTAAACATTATCATCATAAACAAAACCTTTATATTTTAATTCTAGATAGTGATGGTCTGTTTGTATTTTACTTGTCTTTGAAAGCCTATTGGCTTATCAGTTTGTTGTTTTACATCTGTGGTGTTCAAATCCCGCAGGGGACATATCATCAAATGCCCCAGGGACCAAGGTGGCTGAATGGTTTAGGCTGGGTTAAGGCTGCTAACTTTAATTCACTTGGCCCTAACTGCTGTGGCTCCAAATCCCATCAGGGACTTTGTGTTTTTTTACTTGAGGAATCTTATGATCCAGCTAGCTTACAGTTATAAGGTCATGACTTTCTTAGGTGTCGACTCAGGCCTAAAATAATGCATGAAGGGGTACCCAAGCTCTTCAGCCAGTGAAATAGGAAAGTTGTCATATGACTTTTACAGTATGGATGACGTTAACTCAGCAAAACTAATAAAAAAAACTGTTGGATATCTCTGGAAAAAAACATACATGTACATTGATTTCTACTAATGCTAAATCTGCATTTTCAACATTGAACATTAGTATTGTCCTGTGGTCTTAAAATCCAACAATTAAAATCCAACATTTTAGAAATTTACAGGAAAAAACACACTCTATTTAAATAGTGGTATCACATGAGTACAAATTTTGTTTATCTTAAATATAATCTCCCTGATAATAGTTATAGCTATATTTAGACCATATAAAAACTTATCCTACAATTTTTTTTCAAAATTGTTTTTCAGACAAGGAGGAGTGCACAGATACAAACATATGCGGATTCAAATGTCATAATACAGATGGAAGCTATTATTGTTCTTGTGACGCAGGCTATACTTTATCAATGTTTGACAGGAGAAGTTGTAATGGTATGTGCCTATAAAAATATGTGCCTATAAAAATATACTGTCCTGCCATGTAGGAGTATTTTATTGAGTTGGTTAATAACAGACCTTGGTATTTGTAATGAAAAAAAAAAAACGGACAAAAAGATATTTTGAAAGTCCTCAAAATTTCAAAATTTTAAATGATAATGATATTATATTCATTATTGAAATTTCGTCATTTCCAAGTTTTCAGGAACAAATATCTTTATTCTCTTTGTTCTAGCAAATTATTTAAGCCGGAATTTCTACACTAAATATAGTTGCAACTGTATCCCCACTGACATTTTCTCTTTGATGTTTGTTTTAAGATATAAATGAGTGTACATCTAATCACAATTGCGACGGAACGTGTATAAATGAGCAGGGATCATACAGATGTGAGTGCAGTGCTCCATATGTGCTATACACAGCTGATTTGGTCTCCAATTACGCTATTCCACGAGAAGCAGGTGAAAGGGGAGATTTACCGACTGACACTTATCATATTGGTCATTCTTGTGTTCGTAAGTATAGAACAAACATTATTTTTTATACCACACCACATTTTTTTCTAGTATATAACTGAAAACCACCTTGTAAAGGATGTGGAGGAAGCTATCCAAATTTGTAAATATCTGTGGTTTTACTAAGGTGCCACTTGTGATGAAGAAATATGCATCTTATGTCTTTCTTCATCGGTCAGACTTAAAAAGCCAATAAAAAAGCTATTCAACTATTGTTGAAAGCAAAGAAATACTTATTGATGAGATAAATTATACTATATGCCACAAAATTAATTCATGGATGTCTTATATCACTATTTGAAGTTGCTTAACCTTTACCTTACTAACTTCCTAAAATGACTTGTTGAACTTTTCATTTAAAGGCAGTCTATTATCATTTGTTCGTATAATTATCATGATGACAGTTTACAGTCGGTCTGCTAACAATATTGAGCTCTTGTCAGAGGCACACATGTAGGGTACAGCGTAGTGAGAGTGTCGGTGTACTGGTGGTGAAAGCTTTGTTATTTTGGTTTTCAGGATTGAAATTGTTAAAGACTGATTAAATAAACTGACATTAACGTTCTCTTCCAGTGTTGAGTTGTGATACCCCTGTCCAGAATATTGAAAACGGAAAGATTCTTACAAAACGAGAATATCATCGATATGGTGAACATGTAGAGTATAATTGTGACATAGGCTTCACCCCTCGAAGAATCATACGTTTCTGTGGTTTTGATGGACAGTGGACTGGAACTGAACCAGTATGTCAAGGTCAGTGTTACACTGTAAATGTAAAATGCAGACTTTTTAATGATTAAAGAATTTCATCGAAAAATTTATGATTTATTTACTGTGCTTAAAATCTCATTCCTTTGAAATACAACAAAATGTCTAAGCTCCTTAATTTTTTAAGTTCTGTATATAAATTATTATTCCTGTTGAATTTTTGTAATGATCTTGTCCTGTTTGAATTAGAAAAAGTCCATTTAAAGTATAAGTGATTTTAACATTAAACTACAATAATTAATGTACTTACAGTATAGATGTTGGTTAACCTAACTGGATGTTCAGATAGACCTGCTTCTATACTGGTCAGAAAAGCTAATCATTTTAGGTGTCATTACGAAAATACCTGTACGCAATGATTCCAGTATACAGTTTTATCAAACCTGTAATAAAATTGTCTTTGATATTTTAGCTGCAAGCTGTGCAGAGACTGTTCCGAATGTTCTTCAAACAAGACCTGTTGTTGAGAGCGGACCTTATAACTATGGTCAGCGCCTTACTCTACAGTGTACTGTTGGGGATAACACTTTTGACAAGTACAGGTTCTGCACCTACAATCCTAATACTGATGACTATGAAATGCAAGGATCACAATATGAATGTGGAGGTATGTATTTGTTGTGAAATGCATTGTTTATGTTTTCATGCAAATGCAAGGTTTTTGTTTTCATGCAAATGCAACGTTTTTGTTTTCATGCAAATGCAAGGTTTTTTTTTGTTTTCAAACGAATGCATGTTTTTGTTTACATACAAATGCATGTGTTTGTTTTTATGCAACTGCAAGGTTTTTGTTTTCATGCAAATGCAAATTTTTTTTCATGCAAATGCAAGATTTTTGTTTTCATGCAAATGCAAGGTTTTTGTTTTCAAACAAATGCATGTTTTGTTTTCATGCAAATGCAAGGTTTTAGTTTACATACAAAATTAATGCATGTGTTTTTTTTTCATGCAAATGCAAGGTTTTTGTTTTCATGTAAATGTAAAGTTTTGTTTTCATGCAAATGCAAGGTTTTTGTTTTCATGCAAATGCAAGGTTTTTGTTTTCAAACAAATGTATGTTTTTGTTTTCATGCAATTGCAAGGTTTTTGTTGTCATGCAAATGCAAGTTTATTTTATGAAATTAAAGCTTCACCTGTAAAATCAGGCTGTGTAATATTACATAAAAACCAACCTAAAAACGACATAAAATGACCAGTCTGTGGAAAACAAAAAAGTTCTTATTGATATTTATGCTGTTTTTGCCATTGACAAATAGGTGAAGACACTGGCTATTTATAACAGGTTTTCTGGTCTGAAGATGACTGTAGGCACAGGTTTGACTATATTTTACTAACAAATTTTTTTTGTTATTCTTATTTTTGTAGTGATTGATTGTGGTTTACCAAAACTGGCACCAGGGAGTTCCTATGCTTTGCCGAGTGTTACAACTTTGGGAAGCTCTTTTGATTTTACTTGTCAAACTGACACACGTGAAGGGCTAACTCAGGCAGGGCATGCCAGTCTAGTCTATTGTTTGAAAGAAGGATATTGGGACTTTGGAAACTTGCAGTGTACTGGTAAGATTTAAAACTAGCCTTGAACCTGCTGAATCACACAGTCCAAATATGGAATAAACTTGTTAACACTCTAGAGGCTACTGTTTTAATCCAGAAATCTTGGAAATTGATCAGAATGGTTGTGTAGATGATTTCTAGGTAAGGTTTTAATATGGGTCACCTGGGGTCAAAAACTAGAATATGGGTCACCTGTGGTCAAAAACTAGGTCACACAGACCAAATATGAAAAAAAAAACCTTGTAAACACTCCAGAGGCTACTGTGTTGATCCAAATATCCTTGACATTGGTCAGAAAGATTGTTTAATTGATTTCTAGTCCAAGTTTAAAAATGGGTCACACAGCCCAAATATAAAAAAACCTTGTTAACACTCCAGAGGGTACTGTTTTGATCCAAATTTCGTGGAAATTTGTCAAAAAAGTTGTTTTAGTGATTTCTAGGTCAAGTTTGAATATAGGTCATCTAGGGTAAAAAACTAGGTCACAAGGTCCAAATATGATAAAACGTTAATATTCTTTAGGCTACTAGTTGTTCTAATGTGGCTCACTTGGGGTCAAAAACTAGGGCACACAGACCAAACATGCAAAAACCTTGTAAACACTCTATGAGGCTACCGTTTTGATTCAAATATCCAGGAAATTGGTCTGAAAGATTGTTTTAATTATTTCTACGTCAAGTTTTAATAAGGGTCATCTTGGATCAAAAACATGATCACATGAACAAATATGGTTAATTATTGTTGCCACACTAGGAGCTACTGTTCTAGTACAATATCATGAAAATCAGTCAGAAAGGTTGTCATGATGAAATCTATGTCAGTTTATAAAATGGGTTGCCTCGGGTCAAAAACTAGGCCACAATGCCCAAATATGGAAAAATCCTGTTAACAATCTTGAGGCTACTGCTTTGATCCAAATATCCTCGAAATTAGTCAGGAATGCTGTTTTTATGATTTCTAAATCAAGTTTGAAAATGGGTCACCTTGAGTCAAAAACTAGGTCACATGGTCTAAATATGGTAAAATGTTGTAAACACTTTAGGGGATACTTTTATAATCTAAATATTCCGGAAATAGACTTACACCAGAATTCAGAATACATGTATTTGGCTTTTTCCCAGCTAATCTGTAACAGCTTCGAAAATAATATAAACAGGTTGACTTATCTAGTGTGACTGGTAGTGCAACGTGAAGCTATAACACCAAAGGTTAGTTTGTACCTACAGATTAGTTGGAAAAAACCTCACATTTGCTTAGTTCCTGATAAGGTCTATTGGTCAGAAAGATTATATTCAATTTGATGATTTCTAGGTCAATTAAGAAAATGGGTTGGCTGGGGTCAAAAACTAGGTCACACAGCCCAAATATGGTAAAACATTGTTAACACTCGAGAGACTACTGTTTTGATCTAATAATTATATCCTGAAAATTGGTCAGAAAAGTTGTTTTGGTGGTTTCTAAGTTTAAAACAGTGAAAAAAGTTCCTGAGGCTTCTGTTCTAACACAGCTCAGTCGGGATCAAATACTTGGTCACTCAGACAAAATATTGAAAAACCTTGTAAACACTCTTGAGGCTACGGTTTTGATCCAAATATCCAGGAAATTGGTCTGACAGAGTGTTACGATGATTTCTAGGTCAATTTTAAATATGGATCAACTTGGGTCCAAAAATAGGTCACACAGCCCAAATATTGAAAAAACTTGTTAACACTCTAACTTGGGATTTTGTTTGAGTCCAAAAATCTGGAAATTGGTCATACAAGTTTTTTTTGTTGATTTCTAGATCAAGTTTAAATATGGGTCACTTAGGGTCAAAATCAAGGTCACACAGCCTAAATATGGAAAAACATTATTGACACTCTAGTGGCTGCAGTTTTGATCTAAATATCCTGGGAATTGGTCATACAAGTTTCTTTTTGATAATTTTAAAGGTCAAGATTGAATATGGGTCACCTGAAGTCCAAAGCAAGGTCAAACAGTCAAATTATGGAATAACCTTGTTAACTCTTTAGAGGCTATGGATTTTATTCAAATATCCTGGAAATTGGTCAGAAAGGTTGTTTTGACTATTTCTAGGTCAAGTTCGAATATGGGTCATCTGTTGTCATAAACTAGGTCACACGGCCCATAATTATATGGAAAAACGTTGTGAACACTACGGAGCTACTGTTTTAGTCCAATTTTCTTGGAAATTGGTTAGAAAGGTTGTTTTTTATGATGATTTCAATGTCAAGTTCAAATATGGGTAACTTTGGGTCAAAAACTCACATACGCTAGAAGTACAAACCCGTACGTCTTTCCACTTTCTGTATATATATATGTATAATAAACATGTGTTATAAGAAGATATGAAGGTGAATATTATACATCGGACACCTGTGGGCTATCAGGTATCATGGGTGTATTAAACCAGGTCAAAATAATATAAAAGTAATATGAAAAAGATCGGAACCAGACAATTAGGTTGGTCGGTATGCTGAGAATGTTAATATGATTAAGTATTATCGAGAGCAAGTTATACAGTGTATTGTACAGGAAAGATTTTAAACTAGCATTGGCAAAAAAGTGTAGGGTCAGCAATGAAAAAGAGGTTTATAGAGAGTCTAATAAGAGAACTTTTTTTTTTAGCCCGATAAATTCAATATTGCTCAATACTCAATTTGTGGGCATACAGTTTTTCATGATTAAGGAATTAGCCTTATTAGGGAATAATGTATTTTGATATTCCAATAGCAATATGAGTTACACTAAAAAATGGTATTTCAAATAAAGAAACAGTCAGAATTAGGATAAAGAAAACCATAACTAAGTAAGACTTAGATTTGGTGTTCCTAAGAACAGTACCCTTGAGTTTCACAATAATCGTTTTTTTTATGAAAATGACAGAAATACATGCAAAAAAAAAACAAAGTTAAGTTACGCTCAGATTGAGTTACACTATAATTGGTTTTTCAAGAAAAGGACAGAGATACATGCAAAGAACAAAATGAAGTTACGCTCAGATTTGGTGTTCTAAGAACAGTACCTTTGAGTTACACTAAAAATTGTTTTTTCAAGAAATCAACAATTATTTTAGATACACGCAAAAAAACAATGAAAAGTTATACTCAGATTTGGTGTTCTAAGGACAGTACCTCTGAGTTACACTAAGAATTGGGTTTTCAAGACAAGAAAAATGATACATGCAAAAAGCACAATGGTAAGTTATACTCAGATTTGGTGTTCTTAATTTTTTTTTCAATAGAAGAACAAAGATACACGCAAAAAACAAAGCTGCGTTTTACTCAGATTTGGTGTTTTAAGAACAGTACCCTTGAGTTACACTTAAAATTGCATTTTCAAGAGAAAAACAAAGATACATGCAAAAAAGCAAGGCTAAGTTATACTCGGATTAAGTGTTCTAAGAACAGTTCCATGGAGTTACACTAAAAATTGCTTTTCAAGAGAAGAATAGAGATATTCAAAAAACAATGCTAAGTTATACTCAGATTTGGTGTTCTACGGACAGTACCCTTGAGTTACACTTAAAAAAAAATTCAAGAGAAGAACAAAGATACATGCAAAAAACAATGCTAAGTTATACTCAGATTTTTGTGTTTTGAAGAACAGTACCCTTGAGTTACACTAAAAATTGCATTTCAAAAGAAGAACAAAGATACATGCAAAAAAGCAGTGCTAAGTTATACTCAGATTAAGTGTTCTAAGAACAGTTCCATGGAGTTACACTAAAAAGTGTTTATTTAAGTTATACTCAGATTTGGTGTTTTAAGGACAGTACCCTTGAGTTTCACTTAAGAAATTGTTTTCAAGAGAAGAACAAAGATACACGGAAAAAACAAAGCTGCGTTATACTGTGTATTATGTACATTGGAAAACCATAAAAAACATCTTGTTTGAATGTACAAGGCTTAGAGTTTTGATATTTAGTATAAGATATCATCTTAGTTGTTCAAATTTTGCCACAAGTGTCAAAGTTGGCCCTGCCCCTCCGGGGGCTCATAGGTTTTCCTTATAATTATGTATATAATAAAAGGGCTGCAAACTCTGTGGTATTTTCTGATTTTTTGCAATCTAAATCACACTGACTATCTGTATGTATTTTCTTGTATAAATTTATTTTATCTACTATAATTCATCTTACACAGCGACTGCGTTTAGATTTTTTACTATAACATTTTGAGTTTGATACATATGGAATTTGCATGACTAGAGATGCATCAAAAAATCATTTATGTTCATTTTTTATGAGAGCCACACTTTATCCTTGCATATCGTGTCTACTTCCTTAAAAAAGACACTTAAAAAAAAAAGCTGCCTCGACCAGGATTTGAACCCCAGACCTCTCACACCCTAAACGAGCGCGCTACCCCTGCATCACGTTGAAGTAATACGTAATTAGCCTGAATAAAAACAAATACATTGTAATTCTAAATTGATAATTTCCATCCTTATTAATTTCGAGGTATTTTGTTCACGATAAATCTGTTGTTTAACACTGATGAAAATAATTTAGCGAAAATCGTCTCGCCAAAACAGTCTGACATGTATATATTCCACTACTCGACAGTCAGATTTATTTTTGTACTACGCTCTGGAGTATTCGGTAAACGACATCGCTAAAAATAGCATTTTCATTGATCAAAATGATATTCATTCGCGTAATTTGTGATTGTGCATTTATTGCCAATTCTATATTCTTTTAAACTTTGAATGCGTTGTAATTTGTTGGATACTTTTAACAAAATAAAAATATTTCTTTCTTTTAAATCGCTAGTTTTAATCTGTTTTGAGAACTACTTGTTGTTAGGTTTGTCGTGAAAATTCTGTGTCAGAGATTGAATGTCAGCATTGAATTTTCTGATCTGTGATCAGAAAATACAAAAATCTTCTTCTGAGAATTGACTAGGCTAGAGGTGAAAAATTGATCTTTGGCATGAAACATTGTGTAGTGGACCTCTACCAAGATTGTTCAAATTATAGCCCTTGGTCTAAAATTGGCTTCACCTTGGGGTCATTGATTTTCATTACATGTATTTATCACATAAACCGCGGAGCAGGAGTGTAATAAAGCCATTTAATAAAAACGATATTACACTAGGCGATATTACACTAGTGTAATAATACTTTGACGTCACGTCATTTGCACTATAAACATAGCGTTAAAGCGCGCTAATGTTAGCGTTACACTATAGGCGCGTCAAAGTAAAATGACTCTTGTTAACAGTTTACCGTTCTTATTTTATATATGTGATAAATAGAATATTATATTCGTGTAGATTCAATACTAAATTTATTGAACTCGTTGAATAAAACAATATTATGCTCGCCAGAGGCTCGCATAATATGATTTTATTCAACTCGTTCAATAAATTTAGTATTAAACCTACACTCATTCAATATCCTCTATTTACATTTAGTAAAAAGAGAAATTAAAAAAAATGTTTTCTGAATAGGAGAAAGCTACAACTTAAATATTCAACATGAAACATTTTCTGGTGGACCTGAATCAAAATTGTTTGAATGTAACCCTCAAGTCAAAATTTTGCCCAGCCAAGAGAGACCCAGTGACCTACTTTCTTGTCCTTTGATGTACAGATTTGGAATTTGGACCATGTGCACAATTTGAGATGTAAAATTGAACTTTACTTTTAGCTGACCTAGATTTTGACAAGTGACTGAAATTACAAAGTTGTAAAATATCATTAAATAAATAATATATTTTGCATGAAGTATGGTCTAGTGACCAACATTTTTCAAATTCTTGTAATAAACAAAATTAAGCTTTCACTGCTTCTTCACAAATAACAGTCGACTGTACTCAGGTGAGTGTTTTAGGGCAAATGCCTTAAAGCATCTACATGGTAGAAAATGAGTTTATATGACTAATAAACACATTCGAGTAAAATAATCCCAGACTGACACAAAATGTGGTTGTTTTTACAATGTTTTTGTATATGAAAATTTGCTGTATTCATTAACATTGTTTGGTATATCTTTATTCAGAAGAGAAGTGTTTGGACCCCACATACCCACCAGATGGTGATATAATAGCTGATAGTTTTGCAGACAGAAGCACCGTTAGCTTTAAATGTCTTAGGCAAGGATACAGCCTCTCTAATGATGTGACCTTGACCTGTAATAGAGACAACTTCTTTTCTAATAATGAACAAGTGCCCACATGTAGAGGTTTGTATAAATTTCATTATGCTCCAGTAACTGTTAAATAAAACACTTTTTGTCACTTGTGAAACATTTGACCAATGTGATGGACAGTAAAAATATGTTATTTTGTAAAGCTTGATATTTAGATGGTTACAATCAGTCTTTAAGAAAGGAGAGCTGTCGCTGTGTGTCACTAAAACCCAGGAATCATAGTTTTGAGCCTTATATCAGGCATGATCATGCTTCATTATTATGACACCATGCAGTACTGGGTAGTGTCAGAATATAGAGACTCAATGGGTTGTTGTGATTAATACAAGTTGTTACACAATCGGTGATAAATAAATATGTTTAACCCTGTCCATGTTGCCAGGTGGATACGATTGCTGACTTTAAATCATTTTTCTCTTCAATAGATTATGAAAGTTAAAATCCTGATTGGGATTTTGAAATCTTTGATATGAAATCACTAACTAAATCTTAGCTGTATGTTGATACAATTTAAGTTATCCATAGCTGAGTGGTTAAGGTTGTTGACTTCAAACCACTCGCCCCTAAACACTGTTGGTTGAAATCCAGCTAGGGAGTTTGGATTCTTTCATGTGTGGGAGCTATCCAGCTAGCTTGTAGATCACGTCGGTGGTTCTACTCAGTTGCCTGTTTGTAACTGAAATGATTCATGGAGGAGCACCTAAAGTTTTCCTCCACTAGTAAAGCTGGAAAGTTGCCATATGACCTTTACAGTGTAAAACCCAACCAAAAAAATATACGAATGAAAAGAAAATTGCTACTAAACTTAATTATATAAAGAGTGGATGACAACATGAAATAACTAAGTGTACATTACGTATAAGTATTCTTACTTATATAATGATGACTTTGTTTTCACAGCTGATATTGTTGTTTTATATTTTTACAGACACAGAAAAACCGGTTATCAACAATTGTCCAACAACCCCAATATCGATAAGAAAATACGAGGCTCTGCCACCAAGGCTACCTCAGTTGACAGTCACTGACAACACAGCCGTCCGCAGCTTTACCATAACTCCTAGCAACGCTAATACAACTTATTTTGTAAGCAATAACTTACAAGTTGTATATACTGCAACAGATTTTGCTGGTAATGTTGAAACATGCACAGTAAATGTTGAAGTAACAGGTAAGTTGGCTTTTTCCTTGATTTATTTTCTTTCATTAAGTCAGACAGGTCCTGTATAGTTATCATCCACATTTAATTTATTATACGCAGCATTATTGTTTAAGAATAAATTTTATGGTGGATTTTCGTTCAATCTTTTATTCTCTTGTAGATTATATAAGACATGGCCCATAACTCTTGCACTTACAATTATTTCCCTTCATTCTAAAATGTGTGTTTTTACTACACACATGTATTCTATAATAGGAATACTATTTATTAAGTAAAAAATTGTTTTACATTTTGGATAGAAATTTTTGGCTTTATTATGTTATCATTTTTGCTTATACATGCCCATACATGTACATGTATATATGCCCTAGAAGAACAACATACAGAGATAATTTTATGTTTTTTAGCTCACCTGTCACAAAGTGAAATGGTGAGATTTTGTTTTTTGTGCGGCGTCTTTCCAGCGTCAGTCTAAACTTTTACTTAAAACAACATCTCCTCAAAAACCACCAAGCCAATTTCATCCAAACTTCTCAGGAATGTTTCTTTTGATAGTCAGTCACCTTTGTAAATTGTTTAAAGAATTTTATTCCATGCAAAACTCTAGTTGCCATGGCAACCTATAGAAAAAACTTAAAATATCTTCTCTTAAAAAACCCCAAAGAGCTTGAGCTTAGATATTTGGCATGAAACATTTCTAGAGGGTGTCTACCAAGTTTGTTCAAATAACAGTCCTAGGGTCAAAATTGGCTCTGCCCCAGGGAGTCATTGATTTTCCTTATATGCTTATAGTAAAAACTTAATAAAATCTTCTTTTAAAAAAGTCAAATAACTAGAGCTTAGATATTAAGCATGAAACATTTTCTAGTAAGTGTCTACCAAGTTTGTCCAAATAAAAGCTCTTGGGTTAAATTGGCCCTGCCCTGGGGGGATCATTGATTTTCCTAATATGTATATAGTAAAAGCTAAAAAATCTTCTTTTAAAAAACCCAAAGAGCTAGAGCTTAGATATTAAGCAACATCTTCTAATGAGTGTCTACCAATTATTAAAAATAAGCCCTGGGGTCAAAATTGGCCCCTCTTGGGGGTCATTGATTTTCCTTGTATGCATATAGTAAAAACAAAAACAAAAAAACAAATCTTCTAAAAAAACAAATATTCTGCCATCATGGCCCTTTTGTTCAATTTTCATGCCTCTCATATTGATAAAAAATTCAGTAGGGTCGGTTTGTAATTCTCTTCTAATTGAAGCTTCAGTCTATGAATTGTTTTTTTTGGGTCCTTGACCTCAAAATGACCTAACTGTTTAAGGTCAAATTTTGGAAATATAGGAAATTTCACCAGAGCTTTGTGTAAAACATTTTGATCATGGTCCTGTTCAGTATAAGACATGTATTGTAATGTTATTTATTTAGGTGAAAATGTGATACTTTGAGGACCTTATTAGTAAATTTATAACATATATATAAAAAAAATTCAAATGACTCGATATATATTTTAGATGAGGAACCTCCACTAATAAATTGCCCAGCAGATCGTGTTGTGTATATGGACACTGATAATGAAGAAAAAGAATATGATAAGCTGAGAATTGAAGATGTTGTACCTCAAAATCAGAGAGCCGAAATCAAGTCATTTTTTGTTACTGGTGAACCAGACATTCTGAGGACTAATGATCTGTACAGAACATACACATTTACTATTCAAGTGGAAGACCAGGCTGGAAATCAAGCATCTTGCAGGCAGCAAATTTTTGTGCAGCGTAAGTGACCTCGATAATACAATTAACCCTTTACCTGCAGAATTTGTATAATGGATTTGCCCAGCTTTGAATTAGGAATAGTCCATTTAAAATGTTAGTGATTTCAGTATCTAATTTGAAAAAAATGAGCTCCCAACAGTATTATATAGACTAGTTTTACTGCACAAAAGTTCAAGCTGACCTGTTTTTTTTACTGGCAAAGGTTTATCACATTCAGTATGTTAACGTACATTTATATTTCTTACTATTTTCCTGTACTGGAAACCACTTATAATTGGCAAGTTGTTAAGATTTCTTTGAATTGTTTTTTAATGTTTTGCCAACATTTTGTTAGACTGACAAATAACACAACTTTTGACAAACAACACAACTCTGGAAAAGGTAGTTTATCAACATTGAAAAAAGGTTCCATAATTACTGGGGACAGTAGCTCTGTCAACAATTGATAATGTCACTACTAGTTTTAATAATTTGAAAAAAATAGTTTTATCAGCATGAATAGTTGTGAATTCCCGAGTGGTTAAGGTCATTGACTTTAAACTTATACTTGCTCCTGAATGCTGTGGGTTCGAATCCTGTCAGAGACTTTGGATTCTTTCAAATATTATCTAAAGAATGTAGGATTTTAATCAGGTGTGTGTTCCTGCCTGATATAATGCACAGAGGGTGCCTAAGATCTTCCTCTGCCAGTAAAGCAGGGAAGTTCCTTTATGACCTTTTACCTGACCCCCCCTTCTCCCCCCAAAAAAAAATGATTATAAAAATCAAACAAAAATTATTTATTTTTGTGATTATAATAGCATTCTTGAAAAGGATGCCATCATGTCACATTAGTGCCATAACAAGTTTATGTCTATTGAATTATTTAAGGAGTTAATTTTCTACTGCACTAAGGTGGGGATACATGTTTAAATACATATAATTATATATATATATTTTGTTAGATAATCCTGTCTGCATTTAAATAGTATTAAAATTGTTTGTGTTTCAGCACGACCTTGTAGTGAGATCTCTTACCCCACCCCTCTAAATGCTAAGAAGGAATGCACTTTCAGTGGAACTACAAGGACATGTGTATTAACATGTGATGATTTGTACACATTTGAAGATGGTAAGACAAAAACAGTACAATGTTCTAGCGGAAGTTGGGGCAACACACCTTGGATACCAGCATGTGTGAGAGGTATTGATTTTGTTTCATTGTACAAATGAACTATGATTCTTCTTTCTTTATATGTTTTAATACCGGTATATCATTGTTTGAATACTTGTAAATCATTGTTTGAATACTGGTATACCATTGTTTAAATACCGGTATATCATTGTTTAAATACCGGTATATCATTGTTTTAATACCGGTATATCATTGTTTAAATACTGGTATATCATTGTTTGATACATGTATATCATTGTTTATCCTGTCACTTGTATCAATTTCGGCCCGATAACAAGGTGCCGTATATTTTTACTGATCTACGGCACTTGATCACGTGGTATGCATGTTTGCCGGACTACTTTTCAAGAAAAAATATAAAAACTGTCGTTAAGTCTTCTGTGTGTAGAATAACAAATTTTGGAAACGTTGATAAAACTTTGTTTGTTTATTTTATTTCACTCTATAATTTTTCAAGCGAAATAAAAATTATTAAAAGTGAAATAAATGTAAAACTTAACTCGTTTGCGATATTAAAATAGCGTACTTGATTTGATTGTTTTGCACGTGCTGTTTGGCGCTAACATTGTGACGTCACGTAAACAATACTTTAAACGTCTCTGTACAGCGTTAACGACTGAATAAAAGATATTGGTGTTCGAATTCATTTTCTTAGTTAGACCATTTTCTTTCATTCTAGATAGTTTTCACAACAAAATTCGACAAAAAATTGTTTTTATTTATCACGTTTTTTAAACAAAATGGCGCTCTCAATGTGAAAATACACAGGGAGATAATAAGAACTGCGAGTGCATTGTTGTAGAATAATTAGGGCCTTCTTTGTTTATATAGAAACATTTAAGATAGTGTGATTAAAGGTAGTTTGCCAAATAAAATTCTTTAAAAAAAACGGTGACTGGATAAATAGAATAATAGATTGGTGCCGTGGATGGAGAAAGTTTATCTGGCTCTGCTCCGGAATTTATTGGGTTCGCCTTCGGCTCACCCAATAAATTCCTCCGCCTCGCCAGATAAACTTTCTCCATCCACGGCACCAACCTATTATTCTCTATTTAAATACCAGTATATTATTGTTTGATACATGTATATCATCGTTTTAATACCAGTATATCATTGTTTTAATACCAGTATATCATTGTTTTAACACTTGTATATCATTGTTTTAACACTGGTATATCATTGTTTGAATACTTGTATATCATTGTTTGAATACCGGTATACAATTGTATTAATACTTGTTTGATACATGTTTATCATCATTTGAATACCGTTACACCATTGATTCAATGCTGGTACCAGTATATTATTGTTTGAATACCTTTATATCATTGATTTAATACCCGTATATCATTGATTGAATACTAGTATATCATTTGTACCATTTCATTCTTGTTTTATACTGTACAAATCCTTTATTTTTGTGTTAGATAAAGAGTTAAAAGTGTTGCATACATTTCTGTACATTTATCTGTCAAACATTTTAAGAGAAAGATTGTTTTTAGAGTTTTTAACATTTAAAAGATAAATAAAATGTTGTTTTTTTTCACAATCAAATTATGACTGTATCACAATGTATTTCAATACAAGTTAGCCCTATTTATTGCACCACTTGAAAAGACATTGTGATAAATTATGATTGTTATATTCATATCATAATAAGTCTACAATTTTAAGCTTGTGACAGGATTGCCTACTTTACTTATATGTCATATTTTTTTTGTTCATTCACAGATGTAACACCACCAGTTGTTTCTTGTCCATCATCATCCACAATTTCTAATCTAGACCAAAGAGGTGAAACTTTCGAATTTGATTTTGCGACAAATCTTGGAAATTCTGTTGGTGTAAATGATTTAAACACATATGGTAATGCACAATTTATTCCGGAGAAATATACATTTACTGAGACAGATCTGTACAGACCAAAGGTGGTAATAGTTCAAGTGACAGATACAGCAGGAAACACTGGGTCCTGCAGTTTTGAATATACAGCTGTTCGTAAGTACCTTTCATCTTTCTTTGTAAAGTGTTTGTGCCTGTGTGTGCATGTTTGTGCATGGTTTGTGTGTGCATGTATGTGCATTGGTTTGTGTGTGCGTGTGGATGGGTTTAGGTGTGTGTGCATTGGTTTGTGTGTGTGTGTGTGTGTGTGCATTGGTTTGTATGTGTGCATGGGTATGTGTGTATGTGCATGGGTTTGGGTTTGCGCACATGTATGGATTTGTTTGTGGGCTATGCATGGGTTTGGGTTTGTTGTATAAGTGATAAAGGGGTGAAGGGTTGGGCGTGAGAGGTTCTTTATGTTTGAGTAGCTGAAGCTGTTGAATTAAGTATACCTCTTGCACATCAACATTGTGTGTTTGATTCCTGCCACAAACATTTGAATGGTTTACTGTGAGGGAGATTGGAAATTTTAAGGTGCATTGGAGCTAAAAGAAGCTGTTAACTTTATTTTCCATAAATGACATGAAGTTCAAGTTTTTAGGGAAGTAAGTTAAACTGTTTTCAAGTCATATTTAATATAGAATTACATGTAGTATGAAAATCTTTTTTGTCAGAGTGTGTTGAAACATGCAAACTTTGAATCTCAGATCCCTCACATTTTTTACTATTTTAAGTTTGAATACTTTTTTGAAATTTGCATCATTTTATGTGAAGAGCCAGATAGCTTACATAAGTTTGTTGTTCATCTTAAAAGAGCCTTAAATTCACCAGAAATAATGCTATTTTGCACTAGGGGCCTCTGAATGACTTGCTTTTCCATTAAAGTAAGAACTTTGCCATTTTTCACCTTTAAGGGGTCAGTGTGAGTTAAAATCTGACAAAAAATAAATTTACTTTGGAATTTATCAAGGTTTTAGTATCGTTTACTGAATTAGAACAGTAAGGTTAACATGTCTTCATATGATTTTGAAAACTGATGTAGAAACATGAAATATTATACATTTGAAAAGTTTGACTTCAATTGCTTTCTTTTTTATTTGAACAGCCCCTGTATGCTCTGAGTTTTTCTTTTTCATTTGAACAGGCCCTGAATGCTCTGAGTTTTTATGCCCCCGCCATATAATGGCAGGGGCATATAGTGTTACCCTGTTCCGTCATTCCGTCCTTCTGTCCTTCCGTCATCATCAGTTTCCGTTCATTATCTTAATAACCCTTGCACATATTGAACTCAAATTTGACATATGGATATGTCATGAGAAAATACAGGTCAAGTTCGAAATTGGTCATGGTTCGATGAATTTTTGGCAGAGTTATGCCCCTTTTTACATTGAAAATAATATGAAATTTTCAGTTTCCGTTCATTATCTACCAAATGGTTCAAAACATTCAATTTTAAAATTTGACATATGGATATGTCATGAGAAAAATACAGGTCAAGTTCGAAATTGGTCATGGTCGATGATTTTTTGCAGAGTTATGCCCCTTTTACTTTGAAAAATAATATGAAATTTTTAGTTTCCGTTCCCATTATCTCTCTCCAACGGTTACAACACATTCAACTCAAAAATTTGACATATTGATATGACATGAGAAAATACAGGTCAATTTCAAATTTGGGTCATGGTTCGACGATTTTTGGCAGAGTTATGCCCCTTTTACTTCGAAAATAATATGAAATTTTCAGTTTCCATTCATTAACTCCCCAATGGTACAACACATTCAACTCAAACTTGACATATGGATACGTCAAAGGAATGCGCAGGTCAAGATCAAATTTGGTCATGATTCAATGATTTTTGGCAGAGTTATGCCCCTTTCACTTTGAAAATAATATGAAATTTTCAGTTTCCGTTCATTATCTTCCCAATCGTACAACACATTTAGCTCAAACTTGACATATCAATACGTCAAAGGAATGCGCAGGCCAAGTTCAAATTTGGTCATGGTTCGATGATTTTTGGCAGAGTTATGCCCCTTTTACTTTGAAAATAATATGAAATTTTCAGTTTCTGTTTATTATCTCCCCAACAGTATTAAACATTCAACTCAAATTTGACATATGGATATGTCATGAAAAAATACAGGTCAAGTTCGAATTTGGTCATGGTTCAACGATTTTTGGCAGAGTTATGCCCCTTTTACTTTGAAAATAATATGAAATTTTCAGTTTCTGTTTATTATCTCCCCAACAGTACAACACATTCAACTCAAATTTGACATATGGATATGTTTTTGGAATGCGCAGACCAAGTTCGAATCTGGTCATGGTTCAATGATTTTTGGCAGAAGTAATGCCCTTTCACTTTGAAAATGATATGAAATTTACAGTTTCTGTTCATTATCAACCCAACAGTGTTACATATTCAACTCAAAATTGACATATGGATATGTCAAAGGAATCGCAGGTCAAGTTGGAATTTGGTCATGGTTCGATGATTTTTTGGCAGAGTTATGTCCCTTTCACTTTGAAATAATATAGATACAATCTTAGAATAAGCAGTTTAAGTTTGAATTTGGTCGTGGTTCAATGATTTTAGACAAACTTATCTTTCCTGAATGTTGGAAAAATTTTGAACTTTCAGTTTCAGCACTCATACTTTTGTGGAAATGTATATAGCCATTATGTTGGCTACAAATATGCAATATGCTATTTTTAAAAGGTTAAGACTGAATAATTTCAGTGCCTTGAACATTGTATAAAAATGGTTTGTGTTAACATTGAAAAGTTTTAAGGGCTTTGAACTTAGAATGAAAAAAATAATTTGTGCAAACAAATTTGGAACTAAATATTATAACATTTGAAATTTGGCTGCATGCGGGGGCATCCGTGGCATGATGACACATTTCTAGTTCTTTGTATTTCTAGTATTTGAACAGCCCCTGTATGCTCTGAGTTTTTATTCCCCCACAAAGTTGGAGCATATAGCGTTGCACTTGTCCGTCCGTCCGTCCGTCCGTCAGTCAGTCAGTCCATCTATACGTCCCAAAATCTTGTGTGTAGATGGTAGTAAAGGAAGGAATTTTCGCTGCAACCAAATTTAACAGAATTATGGCCCTTTGTTGATTTTTTCAATATATACTATGTAGAAATTTTGTGAATGCAACTCCTCTTAAACCGGATGGCAGATTCTGCTTAAACTTTTAGGAAGGAATTTTTGCTGCGACTGAATTTAACAGAATTATGGCCCTTTGTTGATTTTTTCACTATATACCATATAGGAATTTTGTGAACACAACTTTTAAACCGGATGGCAGATTTTAATAAAAAGTTCCACATAAAAATGTTACATACAGATATGCATGCTCTTGTTTTTGAGCACATCTGCACAGTGGGGGCATTCGTGTCCTTTGGACACAATTCTAGTTCTTTTTTTATTTGAACAGCCCCTAAATGCTCTGAGTATTTATGCCCCCACAGAGTGGGAGCATATAGAGTTGCACTTGTCCGTCCGAGTGTCCGTCTGTCTGTCCGCACTATCGAATAGGGATAGGGGGCCATCTAACTGTAAACAGAACAAAAGAGAACAATAGAGTTCATTTCGTAACAATAGAGTAAGGGGCCATTGGCCCTCTATTAAACAAAGGAAAATAACAAAAGAAATGGCCCCTTATTCCATTTCGGCCGGACGCCCGTACGTCCCGAAATCTTGTGAACGCAACTCCTCTTAAACCGGATGGCAGATTTTGCTTAAACTTCCAGGAATAAACAACCTTAATGTGTTGATGGAAGTAAAAGAAGGAATTTTTGCTGCGACCAAATTTAACAGAATTATGGCCCTTTGTTGATTTTTTTCACTATATACTATGTAGAAATTTTGTGAACGCAACTCCTCTTAAACCGGATGGCAGATTTTGCCTAAACTTCCAGGGATGAACAACCTTAATGTGTAGATGGTAGTAAAGGAAGGAATTTTTGCTGCAATCAAATTTAACAGAATTATGGCCCTTTGTTGATTTTTTCACTATAAACTATGTAGAAATTTTGTGAACGCAACTCCTCTTAAACCGGATGGCAGATTTTGCTTAAACTTCCATGGATGAACAACCTTAATGTGTAGATGGCAGTAAAGGAAGGAATTTTTGCTGCGACCAAATTTAACAGAATTATGGCCCTTTGTTGATTTTTGTGTCGCCTCTACAGAGTAGTGGCGACATATAGGGATCACTTCTCCGTCGTCTGTCTGTCCGTCTGTCTGTCCGTCACAAAACTTGTCCGGACTACTCCTCATAAACTACTGGTGCAATTTCATCCAAACTTTACAGGAATGATCAGTACCAAGTCTAGTTGTGCATATTGTCAGCATTTTCCGGTTCAATGATTTTTTACAGAGTTGTGGCCCTTTAATAATTTTTATTTTTAAAGTTTGTCCGGACTACTTCTCTTATACCACTAATGCAATTTCAATGAAACTTTACAGGATTGATCTGTAGCTCAAGTCCTTGCGCATATTGCACGGGTTTTCTGGTTGAATGATTTTTGGCCCAGTTATGGCCCTTTGATAAAAAGGTGTTTTTTTCTGTAGGTTGCCAGATACACAAAAGCTTGTCCGGACTACTCCTCATAAACTACTGGTGCATTTTAATCCAAACTTTACAGGAATGATCAGTACCAAGTCTAGTTGTGCACTGTCCGTCTGTCTGTCCGTCTGTCACAAAACTTGTCCCAACAACCTTAATGTGTAGATGGTTGTAAAGGAAGGAATTTTTGCTGCAACAAAATTTAACAGAATTATGGCCCTTTGTTGATTTTTAGTTTTCAACTTGTGGCACATGTAGTCCAAAAATATTTGACCTAGAGTCATAAGATTGACAGAACAGTGGCGTGTGGGGGCATCCGTGTCCTATGGACACATTTAGACTAGTTATTTTTTTATTTGAACAGCCCCTGTATGCTCTGAGTTTTTATCTTTTATTCGAACAGCCCCTAAATGCTCTGAGTTTTTATGCCCCCACAGAGAGGGGGCATATAGCGTTGCACTTGTCCGTCCGAGTGTCCGTCCGTCTGTCCGTACGTCCAGAAATCTTGTGGACGCAACTCCTCTTAAACCGGATGGCAGATTTTGCTTAAACTTCCAGGGATGAACAACCTTAATAATTATGTAGATGGTAGTAAAAGAAGGAATTTATGCTGCAACCAAATTTAACAGAATTATGGCCCTTTGTTGATTTTTTCACTATAAACTATGTAGAAATTTTGTGAACGCAACTCCTCTTAAAGCGGATGGCAGATTTCGCTTAAACTTCCAGGGATGAACAACCTTAATGTGTAGATGTTAGTAAAGGGAGGAATTTTTGCTGCAACCAAATTTAACAGAATTATGACCCTTTGTTGATTTTTTCCCTATATACTATGTAGAAATTTTGTGAACGCAACTCCTCTTAAACCGGATGGCAGATTTTGCTTTAACCTCCAGGGATGAACAACCTTAATGTGTAGATGGTAGTAAAGGAAGGAATTTTTGCTGCGACCAAATTAAACAGAATTATGGCCCTTTGTTGATTTTTAGTTTTCAACTTGTGGCACATGTAGTCCAAAAAATATTTGACCTAGAGTCATAAGATTGACAGAACAGTCACGCGTGTGGGGGAATCCGTGTCCTATTGACACATTTCTAGTTATTTTTTATTTGAACAGCCCCTGAATGCTCTGAGTTTTTCTTTTTTATTTGAACATGAGTTTTTAGCTCACCTGTCACAAAGTGACAGGGTGAGCTTTTGTGATCGCTTTTCGTCCGGCGTCCGTTGTCCGTCCGTCGTCCGTCCGTCGTCCGTCCGTCGTCCGTAAACTTTTACTTTAAATGACATCTCCTCATAAACCACTAAGCCAATTTCATCCAAACTTCACAGGAATGTTTCTTTGGCGGTCACCTTTGAAAATTGTTCAAAGAATTTAATTCCATGCAGAACTCTGGTTGCCATGGCAACCAAAAGAAAAAACTTAATATATCTTCTTCTAAAAAACCTAAGGAGCTAGAGCTTAGATTTTTGGCATGAAACATCTTCTGGTGAGTGTCTACCAAGTTTGTTCAAATAAAAGCCCTTGGGTCAAAATTGGCCCCGCCCCAGGGGGTCATTGATTTTCCCTATATGCATATAGTAAAAACTTAAAAAATCTTCTTTTAAAGAACCCAAAGAGCTAGAGCTAAGATATTTAGCATGAAACATCTTCTAATGGGTGTCTACCAAGTTTGTTCAAATAAAAGCCCTAGGGTCAAAATTGGCCCCGCCCCAGGGGGTCATTGATTTTCCCTATATGCATATAGTAAAAACTTCAAAAATCTTCTTTTAAAGAACCAAAAGAGCTAGAGCTAAGATATTTAGAATGAAACATGTTCTAATGGATGTCTACCAAGTTTGTTCAAATAAAAGCCCTGGGGTCAAAATTGGCCCCGTCCCGGAGGTCATTCATCTTCCCTTTATGTGTAAAACTATAGCAAAAATTGAAAAATCTTCTTTGAAAAAACTCAAATAGCAAGAGTTTAGATATTAAGCATGAAGCATCTTCTAGTGAGTGTCTTCAAAGTTTGTTCAAATAGAAGCCCTGGAGTCAAAATTGGCCCCGCCCCGGGGGACATTGATTTTCCTTATACAAGTATAGCAAAAACTTAAAAATCTTCTTTTAAAAAACCGGAATAGCTAGAGTTTAGATATTAAGCATGAAACATTTTCTAGTAAGTGTCTACAAAGATTGTTCAAATAAAAGCCCTGGGGTCAAAACTGGCCCTGCCCCAGGTGTGTCATTGTTTTTAACTATATGTGTAAAGAAAAAATCTTCTTTTAAAAATCAACGAGCTAGACCTTAGATGTTTAGCATGAAACATCTTCTAATGGTTGTCTACAAAGTTTGTTCAAATAAAAGCCCCGGGCTTTAAACTGGCCTTGCTCCGGGGGCCTATGTACAGGTGAGCGATTTCAGGGCCATCATGGCCCTCTTGTTCTTTTTTATTTGAACAGTCCCTGAATGCTCTGAGTTTTCTTTTTTATTTGAACAGCCCCTGAATGCTCTGAGTTCTTTCGGGCATATTATGTTATACCCCCTGGCCTCCGTCTGTCTGTCTGTCTGTCTGTCTGTCTGTCTGTCTGTCCGTCTATCCATCCATCCATCTGTCCCTCCATCTGTCTGTCCGTCCGTTAGCAATTTGGTTTCTGGAGCATAACTTAAATTCCATTTGGCCCACAACATTCAAACTTCATAGGATGATTGTCCATATTGGGTGGAAGACCCCTATTGATTTTGTGGTCACACAGTCAAAGGTCAAGGTCACTATTACTTTTAAACTGAAAACAGTTTCAGGAGCATAACTTAAGGTCTATTTGGCCCACAATATTTTAACTTCATAGGGTGATTGTCCATATTGGGTAGAATACCTCTATCGATTTTGAGTTCACAAAGTCAAAGGTCAAGGTCACTATTACTTTAAAACTGAAAACAGTTTCCGGAGCATAACTTAATTTCTATTTGGCCCACAATATTCAAACTTTTTAGGAGGATTGCTATTGGAAGGAGGTAATACTTTATTTAATTTATGTAATGTCTTACAAATGCTTCATCCTTAATATAAAAAAAACACTTTCAGGCATATAATGCTCTGCCTAGCGGTGCTCTTGTTCTTTTTTATTTGAACAGCCCCTGTATGCTCTGAGTTTTTCTTTTTTATTTGAACAGCCCCTGTATGCTCTGAGCTGTCTCTTCTTGCACCTATCGATGGAGGTGTTTCTGGTACAAGACGTGCAGCAACAAGTACACGATCTGCTGGTTGGGATGTTACAATTACATGTAACACTGGTAAAATTCTAAGAAATGTTGGTGCTTCAACAACAGTGAGCTGCAATGATGGACAATCATGGTCTAATAGTGACATATTTCCAATATGTATTGATGGTAAGTTCATGGTCAAGAAGTAACATATTTTCAATAAATGTGTTGATATTACTGTATTTCTAGACAGTATGGTGTCTGTACTGTATTGTCCGTATCCTTTCATTTTAAACATTCTATAACATGATCAATATAACATGCTACAGATCATAGGCTGCAGATACAAAGGATATGCATACAACTCAAAACATTTTTAGATAATACAGTAAAAACTCGCTAATGAGGCCACTGAAGGGACTTTATAGCGGGTTGGTCTTATTAATGAGTTTGGTCAGATAGAAAACCAGGCAAGACGTGAACAGGATATTATATTAATATTATTTATTTTTCTAGGCTTATTTTTTAAAGTTTCTTTCAAATTGCGAAAATACAATGCATACACTTGCTTTTTATTTTTACATAACAAATCACATTTTTTACAAGGAATGAGAATAACTCAATTTAATCAAATAATTTTGAAAAACACCTATTACAAACCTTATCACAACACAATTCTGTTTAAAAATATGGAACAAAAGAGATGATGATAGCGTCAACAACATTTAAAATACTGTCCTAAAGTTTTGTTTTCACTATTTTATCATTCTTATCTGATAATCATGAAATTAAAGGTGTGAAATTAAAAGATATAGATAAATAGCAATTGTGGGACAACTGTTGTTTACATGACATTGTCAAAAGAATTTCATTTTTATACATGCACATCAAAATCAATGTGAGAATGTACCTGCAGTCATATTTAGGGGTTAATAAATGTACATGATGTTCAAAATGGGACTGAATTAACTGCTTGTGTTACGGAATAACAGGGTGGTCTGGATATCGGGGTTGGCGACCATTGAATTAAAGAAGAAGGGTCTGAAAAAAATTGTTCTTATTATAGTCTTTTTTCACTTAGTTGATCATCAGGACTTAGTATGTAAATTTGCTGTTTTATAAATGTTTAGTCCAATCACTAGCCTTCATTGACAGAAAGTAATACTGTCACTAGCCTTTGTTGATGTTAAGTCATATCAAATCTAGCCTTCATTGATGGTATGTCATATCATCTCTAGCCTTCATATGTTGTAAGTCATACCAACACTAGCCTTCATTGGTGGTTAGTTATATAATCACTAGCCTTCATTAGTGGTAATTCATATTATCACAAGCCTTCATTTTTGGTAAGTCATACTATCACTAGCTTTCATAAGTGGTAAGTCATCTCATCACTAGCCTTCATTAGTGGTAAGTCATATCATCACTAGCCTTCATTAGTGGTAAGTCATATCATCACATGCCTTCATTAGTAGTAAGTCATATCATCACATGCCTTCATTACTGGTAAGTCTTACTATCACTAGCCCTCATTAGTGGTAAGTCATCATCGCTAGTTATACCCCCGCACAACAAAGTTGTAAGGGGGGTATACTGGAATCAGCTTGTCCGTCCGTCCGTCCGGCCGTCCGTCCGGCCTTCCGTCCATCCGACTGTCCGTCGTTTTTTTCTTGTCCGCCCAATAACTTAAGATTCCTTTGACCCTTAGTCTTCATATTTGGCATGGAGGTTAGTCATGATTAGTAGATGACCCCTATTGATTTTGAGGTCACTAGGTCAAAGGTCAAGGTCACAGGCGCCTTGACTTCAAAAAGCTTGTCCGCCCAATAACTTAAGATTCCTTTGACCTACAGTTGACATATTTGGCATAGAGGTTAGTCATGATTAGTAGATGACCCCTATTGATTTTGAGGTCAAAGGTCAAGGTTACAGGGGCCTTGACTTCAAAAAGCTTGTCTGCCCAATAACTTAAGATTCCTTTGACCCACAGTTGTCATATTTGGCATGGAGGTTAGTCATGATTAGTAGATCACCCCTATTGATTTTGAGGTCAACAGGTCAAAGGTCAAGGTCACAAGGACCCTGACTTCAAAAAGCTTGTCCCCCCAATAACTTAAGATTCCTTTGACCCACAGTCTTCATATTTGGCATGGATGTTGATCATGATAAGTAGATGACCCCTATTGACTTTGAGGTCCCCAGGTCAAAGTTCAAGGTCACAGGGACTTTGACTTCAAAAATCTTGTCCGCCCTATAACTTAAGATTCCTTTGACCCACAGTCTTCATATTTGGAGTGGAGGTTAGTCATGATTAGTAGATGACCCCTATTGACTTTGAGGTCCCCAGGTCAAAGTTCAAGGTCACAGGGACTTTGACTTCAAAAAGCTTGTCCGCCCTATAACTTTAGATTCCTTTGACCCACAGTCTTCATATTTGGCATGGATGTTGATCATGATTAGTAGATGACCCCTTTTGATTTTGAGGTCACTGGATCAAAGGTCAAGGTCATAGGAACTTTGACTTCAAAAAGTTTGTCCACCCATTAACTTAAGATTCCTTTGACCCACAGTCTTCATATTTGGAATGGATGTTGATCATGACTATAAGGTGACCCCTATTGATTTTGAGGTCACTGGGTCAAAGGTCAAGGTCACAGGGACCTTGACAAAAAATGTTTTTCTTCTCGATTGCTAAAGAATGTCCTGTCTGCAATGTATTGATTTTGACATTTTCACATTTGAAGCATGTAGAATACATAACTTAGCAATGCACTGGCTTAGTAACCTCAGATTTGGCAGGGAGGTTGTCCTTGACCTCTAAATGGCCACTGTTGATTCTGACAAAGTGGTATGCGGGGGTATTCACGCCATGATAGTGGCAGTTCTAGTCTTCATTAGTGTTAAATCATATCATTTCTAGCCTTCATTAGTGGTAAGTAATATCATCACTAGCCTTCATTACTGGAAAGTCATACTATCACTGGCCTTCATTAATGGTGAGCCATATCATCACTAGCCTTCATTTGTGTAAAGTCATATCATTACTAGCCTTCATTAGTGGTAAGTCATATCATCACTTGCCTTCATTGGTGATAAGTCATATCATCACATGCCTTCATAACTGGTAAGTCTTACTTCATTATCCTTCATTAGTGGTAAGTCATATCATCACTAGCCTTCATTAGTGGTAAGTCATATCCTTACATGCCTTCATTACTGGTAAGTATCACTAGCCTTCGTTAGTGGTAATTCATATTATCACAAACCTTCATTTCTGGTAAGTAATACTATCACTAGCCTTCATAAGTGTTAAGTCATATCATCACTAGCCTTCATAAGTGGTAAGTCATATCATCACTAGCCTGCATTAGTGGTAAGTAATATCATCACTAGCCTTCACTACTGGTAAGTCATACTATCACTGGCCTTCATTAATGGTTAATCATATCATTACTAGCCTTCATTAGTGTTAAGTCATATCATTACTAGCCTTCATATGTGATAAGTCATATCATCACTAGCCTTCATTAGTGGTAAGTCATATCATCACTTTCCCACATAAGTCATATCAGATCTTGCCTTTATTGTTGTAAATCAAATCATCTCTAGCCTTCATTGAAATTAAGACATAATTATAATCATTAGTGGTTAGTTATATCATCACTAACTTTTATAAGTGATAAGTCTTATCATCACTAGCCTTCATAAGTGATCAATCATATCATCACTAGCCTTCATAAGTGATAAGTCATATCATCACTAGCCTTCATAAGTGGTAAGTCATATCATCACTAGCCTTCATTAGTGGTAAGTCATACCATCACTACCCTTATTAGTGGTAAGTCATCATCACAAGCCTTCATTAGTGGTAAGTCATATCGTCACTAGCCTTCATTAGTGTTAAGTCATATCATCACTAGCCTTTATTAGTGTTAAGCCATCATGACTAGCTTTCATTATTGGTAAGTCATATCATCACTAGCCTTCATAAGTTGTAAGTCATATCATCACTAGCCTTCAATTATTGTTGGTCATATCATTAGCCATCGCTAGTGGTAAATCATACCATCACTGGCCTTCATTTGTGGTAAGTTATACAATCACTAGCCTTCATTTGTGGTAAGTCATACAAACACTAGCCTTCATTGATGGTAAGTCATATCATCACTAGCCTTCATTGATGGTCAGTCATATTATCACTGGCCTTAAGTGGTAATACATACCAACAGTAGCATTTAGTGATGGTAAGCCATATCACCTGTAGCCTTCATTTGTTGTATGTCATCTAATCTCTAGCTTTCATAAGGGGTTAGTCATACCATCACTAGTCTTCAGTAGTAGTCAGATAAAGAATCACCAGCATTCAGTGGTGGTAAGTTATGTCATCACAAGCATGAAGTTCTGGCAATTCATACCATCACTAACAAATCAAAGTGGTAGCCATTCCCAGCATATGATGGTTGTAAATTAGTGGGTTTAAGTTATACCATCTCTAGCATATTAAGGTGAAAAGTTATGCCACACTGGCTGTTACTGGTTTAAAGTAATACCACCAGCGTCATTCAGTGCTGGTTAGCATTTAGTGGTTTTAAATTATAACATCACCATAATTTAGTATTTTTTAGTTGTGCCATCAGCAGCATTTAGTGGTTTTAGGTTATACCATCACTAGCATGAAGTGGTTTTAAGTTATACCATCACTAGCATTTAGTTGTTTTAAGTTATACTATCACAAACATTTAGTGGTTGTAAGTTTTACCATAACCAGCATTTAGTGGTTTTAAGTTATGCCATTAGCAGCATTAAATGGTTGTAAGTAATATACCGTCAACAGCATTTACTGGTTATAAGTTAAACTATCCCTGCATAAAGTCACTATGCAATGTGTAAATGAACATTGTTTGCTCTATTTTTAGATAATGCCGGACCAACTCTGGCTTGCCCAACATCTGCATATGAAAGAATTACAACAGGAGATGATGAAAGGAGGATTGATTTTGCTAATGTTGCTAGATATGCCGGAACTGCAACTGACCTCAGTGGTATTGCTAGCAGATCATATCAACCGGCCTTCATTGATGTTAACTTTAATGCACTAAATACAGTGAGACAAATATCCCTTACAGTTACTGACAATGCAGGAAATCCTTCAGTCTGTTCATTTCAGGTGGCAATTATAGGTAAACAGACACTTTGTCAGAATTTTTTTATTTATTCTTTTTTACAAATTCATGCTCCATGAAACATTTGAAAAAATTATATGAAAGTTATTTATTATTTCTTTAATATTCTTGCGACATGTAATTGTTTCCGATAACCACTGCTTTTATTGGACCCAGAAAATACTTTGAAGTCCAAATTCTGTCATGCACTGAGCTGTAAGTTAGTTATTTCAAGGACTTTTGTTTGAGGAATGTTGGCAAGGCAGGGGGAGGGGGGTCCTTAAGTAATTAATGCACTTTGATAACGGTGGGTGTTTTCTATCACCAGTTTAACATAAATAACTTAAATCAGTAGACTGTAATTAAGCACTCTAATCTTGTTGTCATTTACATACAAATCAAATAGTTAAATTTTAAACATTTTTAGCTCACCTTGCACAAAGTGCAGGTGAGCTTTTAGGATGGCCAACCAAATGGCGTCCGTCGTCTGTCGTCCGTCCACATTTTAAATATTCTAAGGACATCTTCTATGATACCGCAAGGCCAATGTTAATGAAACTTGGCAGGAATACTCTTTGTATGAAGCTCTATCAAGATTGTTCAAAGAATTCCATTTCATGCAGAACTCTGGTTGCCATGGCAACCGAAAGAAAAATCTTTAAATATCTTCTTTTAAAGAACCTTAAGAGCTAGAGCTTAGATATTTGGCATGAAACATCTTCAAATGAGTGTCTACCAAGTTTGTTCAAATAAAAGCCCTAGGGTCAAAATTGGCCCCGCCCCAGGGGGTCATTGATTTCCCTATATGCATATAGTAAAAAATTAAAAAATCTTCTTTTAAAGAACCCAAAGAGCTAGAGCTAAGATATTTGGCATGAAACATCTTCTAGTGAGTGTCTACCAAGTTTGTTCAAATAAAAGCCCTGGGGTTAAAATTGGCCCCGGCCAGGGGGTCATTGATTTTCCCTATATGCATATAGTAAAAACTTAAAAAATCTTCTTTTAAAGAACTGTAAAAGCTAGAGCTTAGATATTTGGCATGAAACATCTTCTAGTGAATGTCTACCAAGTTTGTTCAAATAAAAGCCCTGGGGTCAAAATTGGCCCCGCCCCAGGGGGTCATTGATTTTCCCCATATGCATATAGTAAAAACTTAAAAAATCTTCTTTTAAAGAACCCAAAGAGCTAGAGCTAAGATATTTAGCATGAAACATCTTCTAATGGGTGTCTACCAAGTTTGTTCAAATAAAAGCACTGGGGTCAAAATTGGCCCCGCCCAAGGGGGTCATTGATTTTCCCTATATGCATATAGTAAAAACTTAAAAAATCTTCTTTTAAAGAACCCAAAGAGCTAGAGCTAAGATATTTGACATGAAATATCTTCTAGTGAGTGTCTACCAAGTTTGTTCAAATAAAAGCCCTGGGGTCAAAATTGGCCCCGCCCTGGGGGGTCATTGATTTTCCCTATATGCATATAGTAAAAACTTAAAAAATCTTCTTTTAAAGAACCCAAAGAGCTAGAGCTAAGATATTTGACATGAAATATCTTCTAGTGAGTGTTTACCAAGTTTGTGCAAATAAAAGCCCTGGGGTCAAAATTGGCCCCGTCCCAGGGGGTCATAGATTTTCCCTATATGCATATAGTAAAAACTTAAAAAATCTTCTTTTAAAGAACCCAAAGAGCTAGAGCTAAGATATTTAGCATGAAACATCTACTAATGAGTGTCTACCAAGTTTGTTCAAATAAAAGCCCTGGGGTCAAAATTGGCCCCGCCCCAGGGGGTCATTGATTTTCCCTATATGCATATACTAAAAACTTAAAAAATCTTCTTTTAAAGAACTCAAAGAGCTAGAGCTAAGATATTTAGCATGAAACATGTTCTAATGGGTGTCTACCAAGTATGTTCAAATAAAAGCCCTGGGGTCAAAACTGGCCCCGCCCCGGGGGTCATTGATTTTCCTTATATGTGTATAGCAAAAACTTAAAAATCTTCTTTGAAAAAACCCAAATAGCTTGAGTTTAGATATTATACATGAAACATCTTTAAATAAATATCTACAAAGTTTGTTCAAATAAAAGCCCGGGGGTCAAAACTGGCCCTGCCCCAGGGGTGTCATTGTTTTTAACTATATTTGTATAGTAAAAACTTAAAAATCTTCTTTTAAAAAACCCAATGAGCTAGAACTTAGATGTTTAGCATGAAACATCTTCTTATAGGTGTCTACCAAGTCTGTTCAAATAAAAGCCCTTGTCCGTCGTCCGTCCGTCGTCCATCCGTCGTCCGTCCGTAAACTTTTGCTTTAAATGACATCTCCTCTTAAACCACTGAGCCAATTTCATCCAAACTTCACAGGAATGTTCCTTTGGTGGTTATCTTTAAAAATTGTTCAAAGAATTTAATTCCATGCAGAACTCTGGTTGCCATGGCAACCGAAAGAAAAATCTTTAAATATCTTCTTTTAAACAACCCTAAGAGCTAGAGCTTAGATATTTGGCATGAAACATCTTCTAATGAGTGTCTACCAAGTTTGTTCAAATAAAAGCCCTGGGGTCAAAATTGGCCCGGCCCCGGGGGGTCATTGATTTTCCCTATATGCATATAGTAAAAACTTAAAAATCTTCTTTTAAAGAACCGTAAGAGCTAGAGCTAAGATATTTGGCATGGAACATCTTCTAGTGAGTGTCTACCAAGTTCGTTCAAATAAAAGCCCTGGGTTCCAAATTGGCCCCGCCCCAGGGGGTCATTGATTTTCCCTATATGCATATAGTAAAAACTTAAAAAATCTTCTTTTAATGAACTGTAAGAGCTAGAGCTTAGATATTTGGCATGAAACATCTTCTAGTGAATGTCTACCAAGTTTGTTCAAATTAAAGCCCAGGGGTCAAAATTGGCCCCGCCCCAGGGGGTTATTGATTTTCCCTATATGCATATAGTAAAAAACTTAAAAAATCTTCTTTTAAAGAACCCAAAGAGCTAGAGCTAAGATATTTGGCATAAAACATCTTCTAGTAAATGTCTACCAAGTTTGTTCAAATAAAAGCCCTGGGGTCAAAATTGGCCCCGCCCTGGGGGGTCATTGATTTTCCCTATATGCATATAGTAAAAACTTAAAAAATCTTCTTTTAAAGAACCCAAAGAGCTAGAGCTAAGATATTTGACATGAAATATCTTCTAGTGAGTGTTTACCAAGTTTGTTCAAATAAAAGCCCTGGGGTCAAAATTGGCCCCGTCCCAGGGGGTCATAGATTTTCCCTATATGCATATAGTAAAAACTTAAAAAATCTTCTTTTAAAGAACCTTCACAGCTAAAGCTTAGATATTTGGCATAAAACATCTTCTAGTGAATGTCTACCAAGTTTGTTCAAATAAAAGTCCTGGGGTCAAAATTGGCCCCGCCCCAGGGGGTCATTGATTTTTCCTATATGCATATAGTAAAAACTTAAAAAATCTTCTTTTAAAGAACCCAAAGAGCTAGAGCTAAGATATTTAGCATGAGACATGTTCTAATGGGTGTCTACCAAGTATGTTCAAATAAAAGCCCTGGGGTCAAAACTGGCCCCGCCCCAGGGGATCATTTATTTTCCCTATATGCATATAGTAAAAACTTAAAAAATCTTCTTTTAAAGAACCGAAAGTGCTAGAGCTAAGATATTTGGCATGAAACATCTTCTAGTGAATGTCTACCAAGTTTGTTCAAAGAAAAGCCCTGGGGTCAAAATTGGCCCCGCCCCAGGGGGTCATTGATTTTCCCTATATGCATATAGTAAAAACTTAAAAAATCTTCTTTTAAAGAACCCAAAGAGCTAGAGCTAAGATATTTAGCATGAGACATGTTCTAATGGGTGTCTACCAAGTATGTTCAAATAAAAGCCCTGGGGTCAAAACTGGCCCCGCCCCGGGGGTCATTGATTTTCCTTATATTTGTATAGCAAAAACTTAAAAATCTTCTTTGAAAAAACCCAAATAGCTAGAGTTTAGATATTAAGCATGAAACATCTTTAAGTAAATATCTACAAAGTTTGTTCAAATAAAAGCCCAGGGGTCAAAACTGGTTCTGCCCGAGGGGTGTCATTGTTTTTAACTATATGTGTATAGTAAAAACTTAAAAAATCTGCTTTTAAAAAACCTAATGAGCTAGAACTTAGATGTTTTGCATGAAACATCTTCTTATGGGTGTCTACCAAGTCTGTTCAAATAAACAAATAAAAGCCCTTGGTAAAAATTGGGCCGGGGGGGGGGGGGCTATATACAGGTGAGCGACCTCAGGGCCATCATGGCCCTCTTGTTTTAGTAATGCTATACTAAATGCTTTATGGTGTTTTAAATATTCAGTGTGAAACATCTTATCGTAGCTAATTATACAATATAATCCAATTTTAAAAGTGATATACCAGACTTTATTTCATTTCTGATTTGACTGTACAAAATATAGAGAGAACTTTTTATGGTGATCCTGTGAGACTGGATCTTGTCTCAGAGTGGGGGGGGGGTGTCCTGTGATCTTGTTGATCTTTGCTTATATATATTCTTGTTAATTGTTCGGTAATTGGATATTCATGTATATTTTTTCTCATACTGTTTTTAAAGCTGAGGAATGCTCACCACTGGCGTTACCTACACCAGCTAATGGAGCTAAATATTGCACTGAAACATTAAATGGATGGTCATGCGAGCTCTCCTGTAATCCTAACTATTCCTTCTACTCGACAACACAAAATACCATCAGATCATCCTGTACAAATGGCGGAGAATTTGGCACTTACATACCTGATTGTGCACGTGGTAAGTTTGTATATATAAATTGATAAATAAAGATACAACTTACTACAAAACTTGTAGAGAATTAAAAATTTACCTACATGCTTTCATTTCTAGCTTGTGCCTGTTTCAAGACAAAGTTAAGCTATTATGATTGCTGTGGCATCATCTTTGTGGAAGCCGTTTGATTAGCTCATTAGATAGAGCATTGGAATGTGAATTGGTTGCCCCAGGTTCAATTCCTGGATGTCCCAGGTCACTTGAGTAGTGATTGATCCTGAAATCTTTATCGTGATTGTTCATGAAATCCTTTCTATAGTCATTGGCACTGTACCTCTGCTCTGGTATGTACAGAAGTTATCAGTTTCTTACGAAAGTGAAGGCAACAAACACTGGTATAAGGCTTGACAACTTACCCAGGAACAATGCGAGGGCTGAACTGTGCTCTGGTAAATTCAGAGTGGCTCCCTGTGGTGTTTGGGAGGGTAACTAACAACACCACCACCACCGTTTTTGTGGTCGTGCAAAAACTTTAATGTGACACATTATTCAAACATTTCTAAAGGTATCAACATGAAATTTGCTTATCATGACAATGTGCAGTTGTTGGACATGGGGCATCATCTTAGGATTTATGTAAATTTTAACTTAGAATTTTTAAATGGAATGGAAATATTTTTAGTTTATCTGTAATTATGGATGGCTATGCTTCTCAGAGTGCTCATTGGACATAATCATTGTGTTTTTTTTTTAACAGATGATGATACTACAAATAAACAGTTCATTGGGAAAATGAGGTATGAATATGTACCAGAAAGCACTTCAATTACCAGCATTCCACAATCATGTATAACCGGCTATAAAACTACATTGTCGGCTGGTGCACCCTCAATCCTAGACAGAATGACAACACGTCTGAAAAATTCTTGCGATAACAATTACGGTCCATTCAATGCAGACTTTGTACTTTCATTCCTACCAGATAGCACCGACGTGACTATTCAAACTAATGGCAGAACGGTAAGTTTAATTTCAGATCAGATCAGTTTATTTTACAATGCATTATTATGGAAAATGTAAACTGATGTCATTTAAGCAAAGATTCTTTCCATCTGATATGAAGAGATTGATATGCTGAATAAATAACTGATTGTGTTTCATCACATAAACCAAGGTGCAGAAGAGTAATAAAGCCATTTAATAAAAACAATATAACATTAGTGTTATAAAACTTTGATGTGAAGTCATTTGAGATATATACAAATATAGCCAGAGGCTTGCATAATATGATTTTATTCAACTCAATAGATTTAGTGTTAAATTTACACCCATTCAATATCCTCTATGTTTGAGCTTGGATGCAAATGTCATGTGGCATAATTGGCAGATGGTCTAGGATCTTCTGTTGTGAATTATATTATGTAATAGCAGGCATCTGAAAAAAAAAAACTGCCAAAACTTTAAGTTAGAAATAAGCTTTTTTAATTAAAATGATTTAAAATTATTGGAGGAGTTGAAGAGACAGCAGTGCAAGGTTATGTAACCACTTACAGTCATGCTAGAAAGCAGAACAGTTTCCATGAATGATAAAAGAAGCAATCCAATGTCAATTTTCAGAAAACGAACACTTAATTTATACTTATTTCTGTTTATATAATTTGAGATGATTATAATAAATGCTTTGATATTTATCTTAGAAAGTCATGTACATGCCTTTTCCCAGTGTCACTATGAATCAGATTACCAGAACCATTCCCAATTATAAATATGCTTATTTTTTTCCAATCTCAATCTCAACCCCCACCCCCCCCCCCCCCGAAATTCAAAATATCAAAGCTGATAAATTTGCTGGAGTTCATTCCAGTACCAGACAGATGTTTCCACACATTTCATTGTTAACTTTTTAGCTCACCAGAACCGAAGGTTTAGGGTTAGCTATTAGTATCAAAGGGGGATACTCTGTTGTCCGTCTTCATCCGTCACCAATCGCTTCTCCTCTGAAACTTCTTGGCAGATTTACCTCAGATTTGGTCTGTAGCATCCTTGTGACAGTCACACTTGAATTTGCTCATGTCATTTCAATTGGCCCCTTTTAGGGGTCAACAGAGCTAAAAATAGAAAAAAAAACTTTAAACATCTTCTACTACTAAATTAAATGATGGATGATCACCAAAATTTGTCTGTAGCATTCTTAGGTAGTCTTTTATCAAATTTGCTCATTTTAATTTGATTGGCCCCTTTTAGGGGTCTCTAGAGCTAAAAATAGAAAAACCTTTAGACATCTTCTACAGAACTAACTAATTGATGGATGATCACCAAACTTTGTCTGTAGCATTCTTGGGTAGACTTTTACCAAGTTTGCTCATATTAATTTGATTGGCCATTTTTAGGGGCTGCTAAAGCTAAAAATAGAAATACCTTTAAACGTCTCCTTCTACAGAACTAATTGATGGATGATCACCAAATTTTGTTTGTAGCATTCTTCTAAATTCAAAATTTCGCCGTTTTGTGTTTAAATGTTAAATTCTACTTAAGCCGGTGCTAGGTGGGCTGGACGGTAATTTGCACTTTCCAGTACCGTCCATGAACAGGCTCAATCAAACTGAGTCTGCAACATTTTACAATTTTGCTGTGTTGGGCTTTCTTTAGGGGGATTCTGTTTTTCTCTTATTTTAGGTAGTCTATTATCAAGTTTGCTCATATAATTTGATTTGCCCCTATACTTTTAAAATTTGTCTGCTTCTACTGAAATAATTGATGGATAATCACCAAATTTTATCTCTAGCATTCTTAGGTAGTCTTTTATCAATTTTGCTCATATTTATTTGCTTGACCCCTTTTAGAGGCAGTTAAAGCTATAAAAAGAAAAACCTTGAATATTATCTCCTACTTAAATAATTGATAGATAATTACCAAACTTAGTCTGTAGCATTCTTAGGTAGTTTCTTATCAAGTTTACTCATATTCATTAGATTGGCCCGTTTGAGGGGCCGCTCAAGCTGAAAATAGAATAACCTTTGAACATCATCTCCTATTGAAATAATTGATAGATAATCACCAGTCTTTGTCTGTAGCATTTGTAGGTAGTCCTTTATCAAGTTTGCTCATATTAATTTGATTTGAAAACTAAAAATAGAAACACATTTGAAAGTCATCTCCTTCTGAAATAATTAATGGATGATTACCATACTTTGCCTGTAGCATTCTTAGGTAGTCTTTTATCAAGTTTTTTTATATTAATTCTATTGGCCCCTTTTAGGGGCCGCTAAAGCTAAAAATAGAAATACCTTTAAAGGTCTGCTTCTACAGAGCTAATTGATTGATGATCACCAAACTAGCCAGTGCTAGGGGGCGTGGACGGTAGACTGCACTTGACAGTACCGTCCATGAACAGGCTCAATCAAACCGAGCCTGCAACATTTTCAATTTTGCCATATTTGGCTTTCTTTAGGGATTCTCATTTTCTCTATTTTGTCCGTAGCATTCTTAGGTAGTCTTTTATCTTTTAATGAAAAGCAGTTGTTTCTGGTGAGCGACTCAGGGCCATGATGGCCCTCTTGTAATGTGTTTATTATGCTTTGAATGATATTTGCATTGTTTGGAAACTAACAATTTTGCACTATTCGAAATTCTATGCCAAAAGAGCATGAAGAAGGATTCAAAAGGTACCATATGTTTTTCTGATTTAAGCAATTTTACACCGAAAATTTCCTTAACTGGGCAATGTACTTTTTTTCCTAAAATGGCTAGGGAAAAGCTTGGTACTGTACTTGTATTATTACTAACTAGGAGTTGGACTAACAATTACTATAATTCTACCCATATTTTAACTTGAATCTCCAACTGAAGATTTTGTAACAACAGCTTATTGTATTGTGTGATTTTATTAACCTGTCAAATGTATATTGATTATACTGTTCATGCACACAATATATTAATTTTCCATAAATTTCATGAAATGTACGCAGTAAGATGTGTTTTTATTCAATTATTTCTATGAAATAGTTATACTGACCGGGGCAAAAGAGTAAACTGCGGGTTTAGCATTTCTAAATGTCCCATGTGTTGTAATATCGAGACCTTGTATGTCAATGTTTTATTTCTTATTTATAACTATTTTAAACATAAGTGAAGTGATTGTTTTTTTTTGTCGTATTTTTTGTTTCTTAATAAGTTCTGCTTTTCATTTGTCAAAGTCTACACTTTTAGCTCACCTGTCACATAGTGACAGGGTGAACTTTTGTGATCGCTTTTCGTCCGTCTTCTGTCCGTCATCTGTCCGTCCGTCGTCCGTCCGAGCAACTAAAATGGACTAAAGGGCCATCTAACTGTAAACAGAACAAAAGAGAACAATAGAGTTCATTCCGTAACAATAGAATAAGGGGCCATGGCCCTCTATTAAACAAAAGAAAATAACAAAAGAAATGGCCCTTTAGTCCATTTTAGTGGCACGTCCGTCCGTCGTTCGTCCGTCCGTCGTCCGTCCGTAAACTTTTACTTTAAATGACATCTCCTCATAAACCACTGAGCCAATTTCATCCAAACTTCACAGGAATGTTCCTTTGGTGGTCACCTTTAAAAATTGTTCAAAGAATTTAATTCCATTCAGAACTCTGGTTGCAATGGCAACCGAAAGAAAAAACTTTAAATATCTTCTTTTAAAAAACCCAAAGAGCTAGAGCTAAGATATTTGGCATGAAACATCTTCTAGTGAGTGTCTACCAAGTTTGTTCAAATAAAAGCCCTGGGGTCAAAATTGGTCCAGCCCCAGGGGGTCATTGATTTTTCCCTATATGCATATAGTAAAAACTTAAAAAATCTTCTTTTAAAGAACCCAAAGAGCTAGAGCTAAGATATTTAGCATGAAACATCTTCTAATGAGTGTCTACCAAGTTTGTTCAAATAAAAGCCCTGGGTTCCAAATTGGCCCCGCCCCAGGGGGTCATTGATTTTCCCTATATGCATATTGTAAAAACTTAAAAAATCTTCTTTTAAAGAACTCAAAGAGCTAGAGCTAAGATATTTAGCATGAAACATGTTCTTATGGGTGTCTACCAAGTTTGTTCAAATAAAAGCCCTGGGGTCAAAATTGGTCCCGCCCCAGGGGTCATTGATTTTCCTTATATGTGTATATCAAAAAATAAAAAAATATTCTTTGAAAAAAACCCAAATAGCTAGGGTTTAGATATTAAGCATGAAACATCTTCTAGTGTGTGTCTACAAAGTTTGTTCAAATAAAAGCCCTGGGGTCAAAATTGGCTCCGCCCCAGGTGTGTCATTGTTTTAACTATATGTGTATAATGAAAACTTAAAATATCTTCTTTTAAAAAACCCAATGAGCTAGAGCTTAGATGTTTAGCATGAAACATCTTCTTATGGGTGTCTACCAAGTTTGTTCAAATAAAAACCCTTGGGTTAAAATTGGTCCTGCCGGTGGGGGGGGGGGGAAAGAAGGAGGTCATTGTTTTTCATTATATGTGTGTAGTAAAAACTTATGAAACATCTTCTAAAGTTTGTTCAAATAAAGCCCTGGGGTTTAAACTGGCCCCGCTCCGGGGGCCTATATACAGGTGAGCGACCTCAGGGCCATCATGGCCCTCTTGTTTTAACATGGTTTAGGAATTAATATTTAAAATTCATTCAGATATCAATATAATTATGTCATTTCAGTGCCATTAAAAACAATACAAAAACGAGACAAATCAGTGTTTGTTGGTAATGTTTTATATCCATGGAGACAATTTTGAAAGCATGTGGCATATTCATTAAAATATACTTCAAAAATAAAGAAAGAATATGTCTTAAAATAATGGAAATCTCAAAAGTAGGAATCTCACTATAGACCTCTGATAAATTAGGTCATCACTAGCCTTGACGGACTGTGCTTTTGCGAATGTGACAAGAAACAAAACATTTAGCTAGTGTGACTTTTCGAAACATAAGTTATATCCTCCATATTAATTCTTGTAAATTATTTGGACAGAACAGAAGTGGGATCAAATATTTTAATGAGTGCTTTATTGTATTCAGAATTCAAACAGGTCAATAAAATCAGACTATTACAAAATGTACTATATATACTCACTTATTAGACGCACTCACTTATAAGATTCACTCACTTATAAGATGCACTCTCTTATTAGATACACTCAGTTATTAGACGCACTCGCTTATTAAATGCACTCGTTTACAAGGCGTACTCTTTTATGAGACACACTCTCTTATTAGACACACTTGCTTATTAGATACACTCGCTTATTAGACACACTCACTAATGAGAGACACTCACTTATAAGATGCACACACTTATTAGACGCACTCATTTATATGACGCACTCACTTATAAGACACACTCACTTATAAGACACACTTGCTTATAAGACACACTCACTTATAAGACACACTCACTTATAAGACACACTCACTTTTAGACACACTCACTTATAAGACACACTCACTTATAAGACACACTTGCTTATAAGACACACTCACTTATAAGACACACTCACTTATAAGACGCACTCACTTATAAGACACACTCACTTATAAGACACACTTGCTTATAAGACACACTCACTTATAAGACGCACTCATTTATAAGACGCACTCACTTATAAGACACACTCACTTATAAGACACACTCACTTATAAGACACACTCACTTATAAGACACACTCACTTATAAGACACACTTGCTTATAAGACACACTCACTTATAAGACACACTCACTTATAAGACACACTTGCTTATAAGACACACTCACTTATAAGACACACTCACTTATAAGACACACTCACTTATAAGACACACTCACTTATAAGACACACTCACTTATAAGACACACTCACTTATAAGACACACTCACTTATAAGACACACTCACTTATAAGACACACTCACTTATAAGACACACTTGCTTATAAGACACACTCACTTATAAGACACACTCACTTATAAGACACACTTGCTTATAAGACACACTCACTTATAAGACACACTCACTTATAAGACACACTTGCTTATAAGACACACTCACTTATAAGACACACTTGCTTATAAGACACACTCACTTATAAGACACACTCACTTATAAGACACACTTGCTTATAAGACACACTCACTTATAAGACACACTCACTTATAAGACGCACTCACTTATAAGACACACTCACTTATAAGACGCACTCACTTATAAGACACACTCACTTATAAGACACACTCACTTATAAGACCCACTCACTTATAAGACACACTCACTTATAAGACACACTTGCTTATTACACACATTAGCTTATAAGACACACTCACTGATTAGACGCACTTACTTATAAGATGCACTGGCTTAATACAAGACAAACCACTTAGAAGAGGCACTTGCTAATTAGACACATTCGCTTATTAGACACACTTGCTTAAGTCACACTTGCTTATTAGACACACTCATTTATAAGAGGCACTCACTTATTAGACACAATCACTTATAATATGCACTCGCTTATTAGACACACTTTCTTATGAGACACACTTGCTTTTTAGAAGCACGCGCTTATTAGATGCACTCACTTATAATCGGTCCTCACTTATAAGTAGCACTTTCTTATAAGACACACTCACTTATATGAGGTTCTCGCTTATAAGATGCACTCACTTATAAGAAGCACTTGCTCTAGCTTATAAGACACACTCACTTATATGATGCAATCACTTATGAGACACAATCACTTATAAGATGCAATCTTTTATAAGACACACCTATAAGTTGTTTTTATTCTGATAAATGTACTTGTTAAAGAATCTTTTTCCTTGTAGGTTGAAATGATCTTTTCCTACACCATAGTTTATAGCGACACTACTATATATGAGAAGTGTGCGACGTCATTTCTCAATGATATTGGTGGAATCGGCAACATTTATCCTTTGAGTGGTAATATTCCAGCCAGTGGAAACTGTCCGGAGTTAAAATGGGATCAGGTAGCTGAAGGTGCTGGCCGGGGGTTATCATGTGCTGCACCATTTTTTGCGTCCTTAACTAATAATGAACAGTGTGGTAAGTAGTTCTTGAGGTGTAGTAGTGCAAGACCATTTTGTGTAAAATAATTTTTTTTTTATATATGTCAGTGGTTGGATCACCGATTCCATATATGGATAATTTTTTCAAATTTCAGAAAATTATTCTCAGACAAAATCTACACATATGAATTTTTATAATTTTTTTAAACAGAAAGGAATGATGACAGCTGACAACTTTTGAAACCTATAAAATTTAATTAACTTAAAATTTAGGAGATCTACAGTTACTTATTGGACACACATTCCAGTGTTGTATAATATCATAAGAGTGAATATTATTTGAATGATTGGAAAATATAACAGCGAGCTACAGTAACTTTTGTTTGAGTTCAAATTTATTGTTGCATAAACATAAGCAGGTAATATTTATCGATACAATGTTGATAATTTCATATACAAGTAACTTCTTAAACTTGTTAAAGTTTCCTAAAAACCTTGTTTAGTCTGTTAACTTATTTTCCCAATTTTGACAGTTTGTGATTTTTGGATTTTCTATCCAAAACTTGTTTTATTTGTTTTTTATCATAGATTTGTTTTATTGATTTTTCGTCATCATCAGTTTCCCTTCATTTTCTTGCCAACAGTTGCACACATTCAATTCAAATTTGACATATAGATATATCATCAGAAAATGCAGGTCAAATTTGAATTTGGTCATGGTCCAATGATTTTTGACAAGAGTTATGCAACTTGATGAAATTATCAGTTTCTGTTCATTGTCTCCCCAACTGTTGTACACATTCAACTCATATTTAACATATGTGAAACAATTAAAAAAATTTCAGTTTCCATTCATTATCTCGGAAACAGTTATACACATTCAACTTAAATTTGACATATAGATCTGTCAAAGGAATGCACAGGTCAAATACAATTTGGCAATGGTTAGATGATTTTTGGCAGAGTTATGCCCCTTAAACTTTGAAAAGAAAATCAGTTTCCTTTTATTATTTCCCCAACAGTTGTACACATTCAAATCAAATCTAACATATGGATCCGCATAGGAATACACTTATTCCTTTTGAACTTTGAAAAAAAGGAATTTTTAGTTTCCATTCCATCCCACACAGTTAAACACATTCAACTCAAATTTGACATACAGATACATCTTAGAAAAAAGCAGGTCAAGTTTGACTTTCTTCATGGTTCGATGATTTTGGACAAAGTTATCTCTGAAATTTTCAGTTTCCACACTCTTACTTTTGTGGAAATGTATGTATACGAGGGTTTTCCCAATATTCTGTGACAAAATTATTATCCTTGCTAAATAACGACTTAAACCAAAGTAATAATTAAATTTTAATGAATGAATGAGCATCACTGTAAGACTATTCTAATAACAAATAAATATACAAGCAATACAAGCAATACATGTAAGACTATTCAATTATCAGATAAGTAAGCAAACATGCAATACAAGAAGACATTATTCAATTATCAGATAATTAAACAAACATGCAATACAAGAAGACAATTCAATTATCAGATAATTAAACAAACATGCAATACAGGTAATGTAGAACATAAATGCAACAAGCATAAATACCCGCCAAACAACAGCCAAAATAAGCAAAGGCAAAGCAAACATAAAAAAAAACAACACAAATTAACATGCAAACAAAATTAAACAGAAGTAGCCTCTTACCTAATAATCTTATACTGCCTAATATCTAAATTCTACAACAAAAAAAAAAATAAATAAAATTGACAAAATATTATATGATATAAAAAGACAAAGTATCAAGTAATCCTAAGAATTTTAACTGAACAACTTACGTGGTAAAGTGGAAATCACACGTAAGAAAAAATGCCTAAGACGATTGGAGCCTTCTGTGTTCAAATGAAGCCCACCATCTAATTTAGCAAATAAAAATCTTTTAACTTGACCTTTAAAACAAAATGGACGGTATGATCTTATGAATTTAAAATTCAGATTTGAAGCCAAAACATCTTCAAGAAAATGATTTAATTCTTTGATTGTAATGTCTGTATCAGAATGATCCACCGGTCAAGGGAGAACAGAAGAAATAATAATCTTTATTGAATGATTTTCATGCCTAATAGATGCAATCAAATTGGCAAAATCTGAACCGATAGAATGAATTGACTGTTGATTACTTATATTATTAGTGCCAACATGAACAACAATAAAGCTTTTGTCATACAAATCAATTTTGTGTTGACTAACCAAATAAGCTAATCTGCCAATAGTTGCACCAGGAAAGGACTGGATCTTGACTCCCTCGATCGGAGAAATATTTTTAATGATGGAATCTCCTATAATAACAACAGGACGAATTTCTGCAAAAAAAAAAAAATAATAAATAAATAATAAATAATTAAATAAAAAATAATAGAAAATAGAAAAATAAAATTGAGAAGAAAAACAAAGACTAATAACAAAGAATAGGTGATGAAAACAAATAAAAATGTAGACAAAGAAGCGAAAAATATGTTATGCTGATATTTGAATATCAAATCTATCCGGAAGGTTAAGACATCCTACCGACAATAGACAAGTTTCTCCGCAAGGACGAAACGCATAATCAATATTCTTTGCAATTCTACACAATACTGCAATAAACTGTTAAAGAAACCTAAAAATACTACAATCTGAGACAATAATTAAACTTTTCCTTTATAACTTAACAGGTTTTTACTAACAAAACGAGAAACTTTAATTTTATCATAATATCATATTGAATATATCTTTTTTAACCTATAGCTCTTCAGCGCTTCTTATGTAAAATTCTTCCAAGTATAATTTCCAATAACTGTAAATTATACCATACCTAGACTATGGTATAATTTTCAGTTTTGAAAATTATACCATAGCAAAATAACCTGAAATAAAATAAAACACAAAACAAGAAGCAAGGTACAGAAATTTTATTTCAGTCACAAAATAAATCTCATTAGGCCGAGAAATCAAAACATTTTGGCCAGAAAACACATGCCAAAATGTAAAACCAATGTATCAAATTGTCAGTTTTTACCAAAGATAAATACACAATTATTGTAAACAGTTTTAGCATCTTTTTCAAAGATTTTCTGAATAGGACTCTCCATTTCTAATTTCTTAGGCTTTTCAAGATCCACAGGAGAATTGTTTTCAAGTTCACCGCTTGTCACTGTTAATGAGACCATTTGCTTCTTGGAATCAAGTACATTTGAAATATCTCTCAACTGGTCACATGGGCTATCAAAGCGGCTTGTCTCAGAACATTTTAACGCCGTTGGCAACGGTATATTCATGGATTTTTTGTCTTGATTTTCAGAAAGCAAAATGTTGCTTTGATCACTTTCGTCCATGTTGATTGATATTTCGTTGATAAAGTCCTCAACATTTTGTGTTAGAAGAAAATTCACTCCAACTGTATCAATCCCCAGATCTGTCTCAGCCTGATCAAGGTACTGAGATAAAGCCATATCTTCTTCATAAATGTCCAAATGTTGAGACAAAATTGTGTCTTCTAAATTTTCTGTGAACGACAAATTGTCATTCAAAGCCATGCCGAATCATGTGAATTGAAGTAAAACTTTAAAATGAGACAGATGACTGAATAGAGAAAAGGGTCCATGCCGCTACCAATGAAAATGTAGCTTCCACGCGGGCAAAATCAGCCCATTATTTTGATTGACAGCTCATTTCACGTCTTTGCTGCTATGCAAATTCAGATCAAAGGGATAAGTTTTTCTGGGCGGAGCAATAGGTTAAAACAGTAGCGTCATGTTATTTTGATTGACAGCTCATTTTACGTCATTTCTGCTATGGAGTAAGTGTTTCATGGCGGAGCTATAGGTTAAAACAGATACACCATTGGTGCGTCAACGCAGCAATGGTATATCTATTACGTAAGCATCAGAACGCCAATCACCCATTAGTTGGATCAAATCTGGTGGAATTTCTAGTCTAAATGCCAGAGTTGCAAAACCTCTTCTAAAAGAATGAGTGGAGTATAGTTTTGAATCTAAACCAATACCCTCAAAAACTGAGCGCAGTTTATGAAGAAACTTTTAGTAGGTAACTGGCTTACCTGATTTCAACACAAAGGAGAATGATTGGAAGCAGGAATGTAATTTATCATATTCTTATAAGCCTCAACAGGACACAAAACAGAGCCAATAATTGGAGACAAAGGAGTGATAAGAATCCTTTCCCCCCGCTTGAATAGTTTTAGTCCATTTCATAGAAACTAACAATGTACTATCATCAAAAGTAACATCCTTCCTTAGTAAAAATTTAGGCTCAGATAAATCCTTAGAACTAGTTGGAACGAGATTAGATTTTCTGGCCATTAAGAAAAAGGCAAAAAGAAATAAACACCAGAATGTGTAATTGTCAATACTAGAAAAGTCCAAAAATGAATGAATACTCATCAAAATATCTGGAGTTATAGGTTCTGCTTGTTTAACTATGTGCGGAATGCTTTTAGCAATACCCTTAAGAGACAAATTAAGCAAAAAGTTGTTTATATGTTCAATATTGTAACCTAATAACAGATGGACAGATCTTACTCCACTGATATAATTTTTAATTGAATCTACAGATTTAAAGGACCTGCTAAGAAACTGAGCATATAGTTGCAATGTTTCAGTTGAAGTAGGTAAACTACAAAATTTAAAAAACAAACAAAACAATAAAAAAGATTCCCATTGAACTCTTAAGTTCCTACGAGAACCAACAGCATAGGCTCTTTTGTTGGATTTCTTTAAGTCCATTCTGAGTACTTCAAGATGATTCTCTGAAAACATATATACAATGAAGACTTAAAATCCACATTACCAATTGTTGACAAAATGAAACACAGACTCATCAACTTTCCACTCTAGCAAATCATATTCATTGGTTAACAACTTAAACTGTATTTCATGAATTGGATTCAAACCCCATCTTGATAAATGATCTGCTATTCGATTATGTTCTGAGGGTAAATGCTGTGCCTTAATTTCAAATTCATTAATTGCCGCAAAATAACAAATCTCTCTGAGACAAGACTGCAAAAAAGGACAACGTGATTTCCCAGTATTTAAAGTGATGCAGACTGACAAATTATCACAAAGAACTAAAATACGCTTGTCCTTAAAATTGCTTCCCCATAAATGAACACATACAACCAAAGACAACATTTCAAGGGCCCCAATATGTAACTGTTTTCCTAAAATAAAAGAAGGAAAAACAGAATGAAAGAAATTACCCTTCAAAAACCACCACAAGATTCTAAACAAGAATCTGAAGAAAATATAGCATCTGGCTCTGACCACGAGCCCAGTGAAATCTCCATTATATAAAGGTAAAAATGTACCCCACCACAGGATGTCTTTTTAGCTCACCTGAGCATATGCTCAGGGTGAGCTATTAGGATCACTCTTTGTCCGTCGTCTGTCGTCCGTCGTACGTTGTCCGTTCACACTTTTCAAACGACATCTCCTCTGAAACCATAAGGCAGATCATAATGAAACTTCACAGGAATGTTCCTTGTGTGAGGCCTGAACAAAGTTGTTCAAAGAATTCCATTCCATGCAGAACTCTGGTTGCCATGGCAACCAAAAGAAAAAACTTAAAAAAATCTTCTTCTAAAAAACCCAAAGAGCTAGAGCTTAGATATTTGGCATGGAACATCTTCTAGTAAGTGTCTACTAAGATTGTTCAAATAAAAGCCCTGGGGTCAAAATTGGCCCCGCCCCAGGGGGTCATTGTTTTTCCCTATATGCATATAGTAAAAACTTAAAAAAATCTTCTTTTAAAGAACCCAAAGAGCTAGAGCTAAGATATTAAGCATGAAACATCTTCTAATGAGTGTCTACCAAGATTGTTCAAATAAAAGCCCTGGGGTCAAAATTGGTCCCGCCCCAGGGGGTCATTGATTTTCCCTATATGCATATAGTAAAAACTTAAAAAATTTTATTTTAAAGAACCCAAAGAGCTAGAGCTAAGATATTTAGCATGATTCATCTTCTAATGGGTGTCTACCAAGTTTGTTCAAATAAAAGCCCTGGGGTCAAAATTAGCCCCGCCCCAGGGGGTCATTGATTTTCCCTATATGCATATAGTAAAAACTTAAAAAATCTTCTTTTAAAGAACCCAAAGAGCTAGAGCTAAGATATTTAGCATGAAACATGTTCTAATGGATGTTTACCAAGTTTGTTCAAATAAGAGCCGTGGGGTCAAAATTGGCCCCGCCCCGGGGGTCATTGATTTTCCTTAAATGTGTATAGCAAAAACTTAAAAAATCTTCTTTGAAAAAAAACAAATAGCTAGAGTTTAGATATTAAGCATGAAACATTTTCTAGTAAGTGTCTACAAAGATTGTTCAAATAAAAGCCCTTGGGTCAAAACTGGCCCTGCCCCAGGTGTGTCATTGTTTTTAACTATATGTGTAAAGAAAAAAACTTGAGCAGCTAGACCTTAGATGTTAAGCATGAAATATCTTCTAATGGGTGTCTACCAAGTTTGTTCAAATAAAAGCCCTGGGGTTTAAACTGGCCCCGCACCGGGGGCCTATATACAGGTGAGCGACTTCAGAGCGATCATGGCCCTCTTGTTTAACCTCCTGAGGAATATCAAAAATCATATTACTGGGAGAACCATGCAAATCTCTTAACCAGTTTAACAACCGACTAACAAACACCCTACTGGATTTAACACAAGAGCCAATAAAATTGAGTTTACCCAGTAAGGACTGTATTTCCTTAATAGAGGCTTTTTCTTTATCTAACCAAAGTGAAAGAAGAATATTAATTTCTTCCAGTCTATCTGGAGTGATCTCCATGATCATTTTTGAAGTATTAAATAACACTCCTAAAAAGCTCATTACACTGGCAGGAGGACAGCTTTTATCTAAGGACTCTTCAATCCCACTATATTCTAAAACCTTTCCTAAAGTAGAATAAGCCATATGAGCATTCTCGGGTCTCTCAACACCTGCAAAATCATCCAGATAATTGAGAATACAAATACCAAAATTATATAAAATAAATGCTAAAGCGTTAGTCACCCTTTGACAAATAGCAGCAGCACTGCGTAAACCCATTGATAAAACTGTATCACAAAAAATATGCTTATCCCAAACAAATGATACTAGATTGTATTGTGAAGGACATATGCTTATTTGTCTATAAGCACGTCTTAAATCTTTTTTAAACATTAAACATCCTTGACCTTTGGCTAAAATAAGTTTAATAAAATCATCAATCTTTGGAAATACTAAAGAAATAGATTCCCCTAAATATACATCTTTGTCAATGTAATCATTCACAGCATTGGAAGTAGAACTACTGAGATCCAAAATAACCCTTCTCTCAGAAACTGACTTTTTAGGAACAGAATTTAAGGGTGAAATCAAAAGATTATCATCAAACGGGTTATTTTTAAAAGGACCAATGACAGCTGCATGGCTTAATTCCTTGACCAAATATTTTTCAATTTCAACAGGAAATTCGGTAGCTCCTTTATAGTTCTTATAATGTGATACATTTTTAGTTGGCTTTAACATATTTTCATCACCCTGGAAACCCAAAGGAAAACCAAACTCTAACAAGTCACAAACAAGTAAATCTTTGTAATCAAAATGCTTCAGACAAGTAGCAAATAATCAGTATTGATCCTGTCGTTTATTCTAATACGACAACTCTCAAAATTATATTTACCTGACTGTTTAACTGCTTTATGAATTCTAACCTTATGTAAAGATTGAGAAACACTAGGGCCCTTTTTTATTTCCATACAAAGTGGACATTTATTTGTATGATTACAAATATGTGACTCTAGCGGTATTTCTACCTTACTTCTTATTTGACTGGAATGTGAATTCTTTTGATATTCTAACAACCTTGTAGATTTATTAGAACAAAGAAATTTTGGTAAAAAGATATCTTCTAATTTATTTTCATCCACAAAATTAGAATTTAAATTACATTGTCATGCTAATGTATGTGGACAGGAAGAAGAGCTTTCAGGATGTTGAAGTTTAACCTTATCTCTAATCCAACATGTGGCACAAATATGCTGAGCCATATGCATTTTTCCCCGAACAACAATCATGACTGTGATTATGTTTTTGTTCACATCTATTTCTTTGATATGCAGAACAAAACCATACTGGAGAACTGTCCGTGTCAGCAAATGGTTTGGAATATTGAGACGAAGGATATTTTTTGGGTTTGGCGCCCTGCTGCAAAGAACTCTTACTAGAAGAGTAATTGGAATTAAATAGTACTAATTCTAAATAAGTGAAAGCATCATGCAAAGATTTAGAACCTAGTTCAATTTCCCTAAGGACAGCTGCGTAGTATGATTTTAATAGTTTAAAATCATGAGATGTATTCAAATACATAATTCTTTTTAAAAGAGCTAACCTTCCGGTTTGCTCAGAACCCTTTGTTTTGGGGTCCGAAATTATCTCTAATTCCCCAGCGACGAACAAGTTTAGATCTAAATTTTGAAAAGAAATATCATGACTAACAAATTCATATCGTAATTGTGAATGTGGATAACGCTGCTTGTATCTAATTTTGTCAGAGGATTTCTGAACAATACCCGACTTTTTACAAGATTTTTTATGCTTATTTACAAGTTTTTTCTTTTTAACTTGACTCTTCAACAGATTTTTCTTCACTATCCGAACTGGATTCTTCATCATTACTTGATGACGAAATGTCCGAATCACTGCTGTCATCCAAACATACTTCAGATTCACTGGAACTGAAGAAACCAATTTTTTTGGATTCCTTTTTTGCTTCCTTCTTGAACTTTTTAAGCCTCTCAAATCTTTAATTGTCAAATCTGACGATGAAATTTTATCTAAAAGTTCTGAATTTGTAACTGAATGTTTTGCTTTACCTTTTAAGGCCTTGACCTCTGCCTTTTTCTTGTTCAATTTTATGCGGAGCTCTTCCTTTTCCTGCTGTTTCCTTAGCTGAATTTCTTCTTTCTCTAACTGTTCTAGTTCAGCCTTCATCGGCAACATATCGTCGTCCTTGCTGACAATTTCTTCTACAAACAACAAGGAGGAAACGGACGAGGACTTTTTCTCAACTTTCACCGAATGCTGAGTTTGTGAATTTTCCGGCTCTGGACAAGAAAATACTGACGAATACATAACAGAGAAGCTGTCGTCAATAATTAAATATTTTAAAAATGTTTAAAATAGTCCTATTGTTTGAAAGCTAGATAAAATATTTACAAATTTGATATTTAAATTAATATGTGATGAACCCATATAATTGCAACATTTTAACAAATATACTTGGAAAAATGTCAACAAACAACAAAAATATGTCCTAAATACCATCGCATCTATTTGAATCGCGGGCATGTCAAACATCAAAATAAGTCTGTATAAAGCGCCTTTCTCAAAATTAATACTCTCCGAAAAATTCAACAAATAAATGATGCAGTTTTACCAAGAAAACGTCAATTACGGACATACTCATGGGGTTCTTAGTCTCTGTTGAATTTTTGGATGGCAAACATTAATTTCTTGCTATGAGCGAATTTCCGGTCTCATTGCACCTGTTTTAGCTTAGAGAAATAGGCGACGAAGATCGATATTCTTATTTGTCGTCTTTTCCTTATATTTGCTTTCTGTAGTGCAGAACTCTGGTTCGGGATATGTTGCTAAACTGTTCTATTTGGTATATTAGTTAAAAAATCTTAACAGGTGTCATCACGCAATTATACTCACGAAACACCTGATAACTGTTCGCTGCGCCGCACATTCTTCGGACGTGGGCATTTTTACTTTCCTTCTTTCTGTTTGATATTTTTATTTTTTCGTATCTTGTTGGTTTCTTAAGTTATGTAAAAAATTTATGTAAAATTTTCAACAATTATGTCAACATAGGAGCAGAGGACATCAGTGCGATATTGTGCTGACACATGATCAGATATTCGAAATATACGTATTCTATTTAAACCTATACAAAACAAAACACACATTTTTTGACATGCGCCGGGAACTCAAACCAATGTCGTTAATATTGAAAAAATAAACTAGAGTAGATATTTTATAAATAATTTGTTGTAAGGTAAAATAATAAACTTATAGGTTATATATGTAAATTGTTATCTATTGTCATTAAAAATGAACCATCTATAAGATTTTTCACAGACTTTTGAGACAACCCTCATAAGGTTAAAATCGCATGTGCAGGTATTGAACCAGAAAATACAAATCAAGTTCAAATTTGGTTTTGGTTCGATGATTTTTGACAGAGTTATACAATTTAAACTTTAAAAAAACAAGAAATTTTCAGTTTCTGTTCTTACTTTTTAAGAATGTATGTCTGAGGTTGACTTTGCATTATTGATATTTTACCAGAAAATACAAGTCAAGTTATAATTTGGTCATGGTCAAATGTTTAATTGACAGTTATCCCCCTTGAACTTGGAAAAGATTTAAAATTCACAATTTCTAATCATTATCTCAGCTACAAATTTGCAATATGCAATTTGCAATAGGTTGGCACTGAATAATTTCAGGGCCTTGATCTTTGTATAAAAATGGTTTGTTTAAGTCGTTGCATATTTTAAGGGCCTGAAATCAGAATGAAAAAAAGGGTTTGTGCAAACAAATTTGGAACAAAATATTATTATAACATTTGCAATTGTGGCTGCATTTCTAGTTTATTCTTTCTGTCCAAGACTTATTATGCTCCCCGAAAAATTTCGGGGGAGCATATAGTCGTCGGGTTGTCCGTCCGTCCGTCCGTCAGTCCGTACGTACGTCCCGAATTCGTGTCCGGCCCATAACTTTGATATTTGAAGTCGGATTTTAAAATTATTTCACAGAAATGATCACCATATTGAGACGACGTGTCGCGCGCAACATTTGGGTCGCTACCTTGAAGGTCAAGGTCACAGCATGACCTTGCAGCAAAATCGTGTCCGGTCCATAACTTCATTATTTGAAGTCGGATTTTAAAAATATTTCACAGAAATGATCACCATATTGAGACGACGTGTCGCGCGCAACATTTGGGTCGCTACCTTGAAGGTCAAGGTCACAGCATGACCTTGCAGCAAAATCGTGTCCGGTCCATAACTTCATTATTTGAAGTCGGATTTTAAAAATATTTCACAGAAATGATCACCATATTGAGACGACATGTCGCGCACAACATTTGGGTCGCTACCTTGAAGGTCAAGGTCACAGCATGACCTTGCAGCAAAATCGTGTCCGGTCCATAACTTCATTATTTGAAGTCGGATTTAAAAAATATTCCACAGAAATGATCACCATATTGAGACGATGTGTCGCACGCAAAATGTGGGTCGCTTCCTTGAAGGTCAAGGTCACAGCATGACCTTGCAGCAAAATCGTGTCCGGCCCATAACTTCGCTATTTGAAGTTAGATTTAAAAAGTATTTCACAGAAATGATCATCATATTAAGATGACGTGTCATGCACAACATTTAAGTCGCTACCTTGAAGGTCAAGGTCACAGCATGACCTTGAAGCAAAATTGTGTCCGGCACATAACTTCATTATTTGAAGTCGGATTTTACAACTATTTCACAGAAATGATCACCACAATGAGACATTGTGTCGCGCGCAACATTTGGGTCGCTACCTTGAAGGTCAAGGTCACGGTATGACCTTGCAGCAAAATCATGTCCGGCCCATAACTTTGTTACTGGAAGTCGGATTTAACAACTATTTCACAGAGATGATCACCATATTGAATTGACGTGTCGCATGCAACATTTAGGTCACTACGTTGAAGGTCAAGGTCACAGCATGACCTTGCAGCAAAATAATGTCAGGCGCATAACTTTGTTATTTGAAATCGGATTTTACAACTATTTCACAAAAATGATCACCATATTTAGACAATGTGTCATGCACAATATTTGGGTTGTTTTTACACTTTGAACTTTGTCTGTGACATAACTCTGACACAACAAGAGGTATACCTTCCTGTGTCCAAAACCTATTCGGGGAGCATCACCCGGTTCAACCGGCTCTTGTTTTATTGGCTTTTCTATCCAAGTCTTATTTAATTAGATTATCTATACAAGTCATTTTTAATTGAGATTTCTATCCAAGGCTTATTTCTATCCAATACTTATTTTATTGGATTTCTTATCCCAGACTGATTTTATTGGATTTTCTATCCAAGACTTATTATTGGATTTTCTATCCAAGACCTATTTTATTGGATTCTTAATTATTTTTCTTGGCAATATTGGTAATTTTGGCTTTGCATTGCTAGTCCTATCAGGATTTAATCATTATCTTGGTCACTTCTTCTAATGTTTACAGTCCGATGTCCTGCCGGCACACAGTCTAACGGAGAATTTTGCTCAATATGCCCAAAAGGTACATATAGGAACTCTGCAGATGCTTCATGCATTCAATGTCCCACTAGTTATACAACAAGATATCCTGGTGCCACAAATAGTGGATCGTGTATCGGTAAGTACTGCTTATGTTCTACTTTGTTCAATTTTTAAGTGGGGAAACACATTGTTTTTATGGTCTATATAAACTTTATATAAGTTCTAACAAGTTTTTTCAACTTGACTTTAACACAACAAAAGTTTACTTACCTTGGAATGGGTGACATGGTTTCAAGACTTTGCTTGCAACTTCATATATTATAAACCAAGGTATGTTTCCATAAAGCTTCAGGAATATCTTCTGGGTAATAATTTTAAGTCTTTAACCATTACCCATAACAATAGCAAGAAATTAAATCGTCACAGAGTTGTCCTCCTTTGTGAAATACTAGTATATAGATTCCTAACAAGGGTTTTGAATGTAAGTTCTAGGTCGACAGTTATGAAATTTTCAATAAAAACTTCAGGCATGTCTGACTATCATAAATGAAGAACCAACACCCATAACTCTGCCCTGTACCAGTATGTTTACTGAATTATTCCCCTTTCTTAACTTTTTAAATTCCTATGAATTACCGTTATCATTTTTAGAATCAAACCATCCGCATTTTAATAAATATTGATTTAGATTATAAATGTGTAAAATGGTTTCTGTGATCATCAAGTACTTATTTTATAAAATGCCTATCATTTTTATAACAGCCCCTTGTACTGGATCAATTTCTACAACTGGATTTAGTCCCTGTTTAACTTGCCAGAAAGGTAGCTACAGATCAGACAGCTTGACATGTCAGTCTTGTGGATTTGGGCAGACGACAAATGGCGATGGCGCCACTAGTCCAGATGCTTGTGTATCTAGTACTATCGATGATGGTAAATATTTCATATATTTTTCTTTTCCAGTGATGTTCTTAATACTTGAAAAAGAATGTTTGTATTCTATGTCAGTTTTAACATATTTTTGTATATAGTTATACATAGCAATAAATAATATTTTGTTTTATTTTGCTGGAAAAGGAGATGGAGTTTTGATGTGACATCACATTTGTAATTTTTTTTGTTATAATTCTGAAGAACAATTTTAAATACTTTCTTTTTCGTTTTCAATGATACTTGAAAAAGATTTTAGAAAATACATGTATCAATAAAGTAAGGCATTCAGAGGACATTAGTCAGGTAAGATTTATAGATATGGTCGGAATGATAATGATGATCATGTTTGATGTTTTACTAGTTAGCTAACCTGAGCTTGCTCAGGGTGAGCTTTTAGGATCATTGAATGTCCGCCGTCTGTCCACACTTGTTCGTTAACACTCTAGCGCTCACATTTTTGCCTTAATCATCATCAAACTTTGTCAGGATGCTTATTTAGTTGATAGCTCAGATGAGTTTGAACATGGTTCATCTCGGATGAAAAACTAGGTCACAGGAGCTTAA